CAATTTTCCTGGGTTATTGTGGGAATCAATTTTCGATATTTTTTTTAGAATTCACGTTAAATCATATTTCGATTTCTCAATTTTTTGAAAATTGTTTGTGTCTTTCTTTAAAAAGTTAAACAGTTATTCAAAAATCGACTCCCACAATAACCTAGAAAAAAGAACGATGAATTCAAATATGTTTACAGAACTAAAATCCGATCATTCTAAGTTATCGTATTTTTGTCAGGCTTTTAGGTTTCAATTGATTGAAATTAGTTTCTCGTTAGAACAAATATTTTATTATGTGACATGTGCATGCGGGTGCGAACCACTGATTCCAAACGTATCTACGCACACTAATGATCATTTACTTCGCACACAAACACACTGCGAAACGACTATAATACATCGAATTGCCTATACACGACCCCTTATTAAATCACCGGATCGAATCCCCTTAAGAATTCGTAAATATTTTCCTTTTTAAATCTAAGATTTTAAAATGTGATACAAGATTCCTTATAAGTTTATCTACGTTTATCAAAAAAAAATTTCTACAAGCAAATCAAATTAAATTTTTATGAGCGTTTGAAGTTCATATTTTTAAAATATTGGAAATTCACTCGATTTATCATGTAGCAGTTTTGTTATTTTATTATTATTCAAAAACGAATAACTGTTACATACATGAACATTTTACTGAATGTTTGTATTTTCATTTTCTATACACCAAAACAATTTGAAAATACTTTGACTCTTTTTGAGATGCTTACGAACATTGTCAGTTTTACATTTTCTTAGTTTTTTATTCTATAAATATCAATAAAACTTGATTTATCGGGTAAAAAAGCTAGAAAATGTAATGTAAGGCTCCTGATATATTGTAACAATAGCAGTTGAAAAATGATAAAAATACATAGCCACATTTTTTTTTTTATAAGCATTTAAAGTTCGAATTTTGTCAAAATTTATCAAATTTAAAATTTTATAATTATTTTGTAGTTAAAAATGTATAAAATGTTCGACTTTTATAGCTAAGGATTGACAATTTAAAACAATGGTCCACGTAAATAGATGAATATATAAATTACTTTATTCACAATAACATCATCAAATACAGTTCTCGTAATATCATAGGCTGGTTGACCGTTTTCGCTCAGAATCGTTTTTCTGATACAATGGTATTATATCATTGAATTCAAATTTAACAGTATCCATAACAGTGACCGGCCACTTGTAACCTACTGTACAGCAGAGCGACTTTTTATAGATATTTGATATTATTTTATATACATATCGATAAAAAATTAGCTCGATCAAAAAGATTGAAAATTTAATACAAGGTTCCTTAAAGTGGTTTATACTGTAACCAAAAATTCAAAAAAATATCAAACACAATTTTTTATAGAAATTTGAAGTTAAAATTTGGTGAAACTTAGATATTAAAACAAATAGGATAACGATTTTTATTATTTTGTTCTAATTCAAAAATATTATTGTCGTGGACTTGATACATTTACGTGTATTATATTTTATACACAAAATGACATTTTCAAATGCAATATTTTCGTCCAAAATTAATTGAACCCCCAACCGCCCCTGTTTACGGGCCTGATATTACTTATAGTAAAATAAATTACTTTAGTAGCAGTATAAATATTTCGTAAAATATACTTAGTAATATAGACTGTCAGACATACCATATACCTACATGATACGATTCTGGTCTTCTCTCAGAATCAATTTTCGTTTGCAATGATTTATCATTAAATTTAAATTTAACACAAACTTTAAAGTGACTTACTTAATGATGAGGTAATAAAGTCACACTTTTTTAGTGTAATTTTTAAATATTGCTAAAAACGTATATGTTAAAAATGTACTGAAGTAGGTATATTAATTGGTTTCGTGGAGTAAACTAATTTCAATCTGGTGAATTTGTAGACTATTCAATCCCTAAATTATTATATCCACAAGCTACCGTTGATTATCAATATGTTTTGTAATAAAACAATCAATTATTATACCGAGGTATTAAATCAGGTAGGTACATGTTTATATTTACCCGACATTTTGTTCTACATCGAATTTCAGTTTATCGTGATCTTATCCTGATATAGGTAGGTATAAACTATTTTTCAAGTGACTTACACGATTGCATTCACGATTTGTCCACTTGGTTGGCAAAGTATCAATTTTCAGAGTTTAGGTTCAATACGTCGCGCAACTAAGTTGGCAGGCTTAGGCGATACCACAAAATTGTGTAAATAGCGTAAGCATTTAACTACCCACAGCCCCCCCTCTTTCATCAACCATAACCTATACTTCAACAAGTCGTACAATTTCACATTTAGGTCTGATTATACTTCAAACGAAAATAAATACATAATAATATATTATATTATTTATTTAATGTTCAGATTTCTCAAAAGCTGAAAAACAGTAATTAAATTGTTTTGATAATCTTGAACCACCAAAAGATATTTTTGATTATAATGTTGTCTTTAATTTCACACTCGATACAACATCAAAATTAAATATTAGGTATGGTGGAAATGCGAAAGATTTATTATTAATTTATTATCGTAGGTAGTTATTATTATTTTATGTAAACTATCGCGCTATCTGGCGATCAACTTGGCGAAAAAGCGTACTTTTTGCCTTAATATTTTCAGCTTGTTTAATGGAGATAAAACCATATAAACGAGCTATACTCGTTTTATCTAATCTAGAAAAAAATATAAAACACTTACCACTTTTATCTTTTTTTTCATCGTCGGGATAATGACGCACGAATGAGACGTCCCTCTATAAAAAAAAATATATATATATATAAATATATTATATATATCTATATGATATTTATATTATATATATGATATTTATATTATATTATTTATGATTGGATAAAAAATATATTGGTTAGAAATATTATTATTAACTTTTAAAAGAATAATAATAGATTAAATCAAATATATTAGCATTAAGCCCATTATTTGTAGATGAGTGCTGCGGATTAGTTAATTGGCAATTTTAGATAATTTCTGATAAATAGAGTAAAAAGTTTAAGCTTTTGAAGTAGGAATCAAAATAACATTAAAAGGCAGAGTTTAACAGTAGTACGATTAATATTTTTCTAAAATGTATCCAAAAACAACATAACTATACATTCCAACATATATAAATATAAATGTAGAAATTATATATTACCTATATAATGTGTTATTAGGTATATTAGGTATAATATGTATATCAACTACAAACGTTTATAACTATATATACCCTGTTCAAAATAAGAAGCGACCTGATTTACGCTTGAAAACCGGTTTTACTAGTGGCCGCTGAATCGCTTCTTAAAATGAACAGACTATAGGTACAGACTACAGACAAATGCTAAAGGGGATATGTCGTATTCATAGACATCCCTCATTGTTGATTAACAATAATTATTAAAAATATTATTTTATTTATATTTATTAGTTAGATGTTCTACACTTACTCAACTTTTACAAAATATGTTGGATTTTTATATTTTAAAAATTCAATCATTCACAATTGAAAATGAAATATCTTTTCCTATACAAAAACTTTGGTTTAGTAGTTTAATATTCAAACAATTAGGTACAATTTTTATTTAGTTATTTAAAAAAACACCTATACATTGTTAAATGTAAAGAGAACATGTATTTTATTTTTCAAATAAATAGTATAGGTACTAGATATTTAATATTCATGGGTAATTTGTATATTAGCATATACTGAATTTTCTATAAAAAAAAAAACCACTAGTGAGTACATAGCACCTGTAGATGTGTAAATCGGGCTAGTCACGCTGTAACACCAACTGTATCAACAAACAATTTGTGGGTGCTTAGTATTTACACTATGCACATTTCTCGAGACTTTAAGGCTATAGCTAAACATTTAAGTATTCAAGGAAGGAATATTGAAATTTTATTGAAAATTATATATATTATTTTTTTTTTTTAAGAAAACTGGTATTCTGCCATAAAGATCCGAATATTTGAATCGCATATATCATGACAACAGGCTGTTGATAGGTGATGCTTAAAATAAAAATATTGTCTTAATGTACTGTTGGCAAGAGCATTACTATATACACCTATTAGAATATCGAGAGTATAATTAGCAATATATATAATATATTGATCGGTGCCAATATCCAACACCACTGAAGACAGTTACTTTTCAAATTGTTTAAGACCAATGGTAAAAGCAAAAAACAAATTATTAATTTGATTGTTTTATTACATTGACAGGAACATATTATACGTAGGTATAATATTATGTTCTTTTCATTAAGCACAAAACAACATTAATGAAGTAATGTTATCAAAACATGTATACTTACATTTTGTTTGTTTGTTGATAGCCATTAGTTTAGATGGAAATGGAAGATAAATCATAGAAACATCTATTGTGATGTCACAAATTATTTACAAATAGGTACATACAAAAATAGTTCTACATCAAATTAGTTTACATAGTTTACTTAATATTTAAGCAACACAGTTAAGGTAAAATACATGAAATACTTAGAAATAAATTATAGACTGGAGTACAATGAATAACTAATAAATTATACTACCTACTTACACAAGATACTTATTTTAATACTAGTGAACTGTAAGTGTATAAGACGAATGCTATGAGAAATTAAGGTGTTAAATGAAGTCTCAACTGCTCTGATACGTTTTATTTATAAGTAAACTGGAAGGAAAACCAATCCAAACAGACCATTTTACAAATACCTATTCTTTGTACTAAACTTGATTTTCTTTATCAGTCTTCTTAATATCCACTAGCTGGAAGGACTGTGAAAGTGTAGAAAAAGATTATGTACCGATAAAGAAAACCTAGATCAGTCTGTGGGTGTCTGAGGTTAACCAACTGAGTTCCACTGCACACCACAAGCGTGGCCTCCCGGTGACAAGCACCGGGGAACAGCAGCTACAACTGGGAAGACTGACAGCCTACCCGGTGCCCGGGGGATTACCATGGAAAAACTCGGCGCTCAGTTAGCAGACTTGAGTGCCAAACAACTGGACGGTGTTGCGGCTTGGTTAGCGGTCAGGAAAAAACCAATAGACCGACAACTACAGACGGATATGGATATCAACCGAAACTGGACAGCAGTACACGACGAAGACGACGACGACGACAGAAAACCGACGAAATGCTTGCCGCTTGCGTACCTACACGTTTCGGTTTACGATTTCGATTCCAACTAGGTAACTACTACAACTACTACAGCGCGTTGGACAAACAACTCTCGTCGGAAAAATCGAGTACCGTTATCACAATACGCGCACTGAACGGGCGGCGGCGGCTGATTAAAAACGATGAACCAAAACAAATGCGTACGGTGTCGTCCCCTCCAGTCAGCGTTTGCGGGTACGGTGGAGGAGGTGACTGCGGTATCAGCCGTGCGAAAGACCGCGGTAGAGGAGAAGTGGGATGGCCTCATAGAGACGGACGTATCGCTCTCTGTCGCCGAGGTGGGTGAGACGGCAGTTGCGGTATCCTCCTCCGGGTTTAAAAATAAATCGGCCGTGGCTAACGATATTTTCGTCGCTTACACAGCCTACGCCTTTACAGAACACAATATCCCTCTCCGTTTAGCTTGTTTTTCCTCGTGGTTTTCGATGGTCGCTGCGGCCACAGCAGCTGGCCGCTACCGTTTTTCTCGGAGGTATTTCATAGCATTTTTGTGAGACGACAACAATAACAGAACAGCAGCTGACCGGTGGCGGTGCCTGCGCATGGGCTCTTGTGACGTGTTTTTACGTCCGTCCGGCTCACTACTACTACACCCACGATAATGTATTTTGTTTATCTCTACGGATGCGGACGATTACTAATTACTATTGTTATTATTATTATATATGTGTCGTGTGACGTATAAAGGAATAGATTATATTATTATTAAAACATATAATAATAATAATAATAGTTTTTTATCTATATTATATACACCATAGAGTAAAGAATATAAATATTATATACACAGGATTGAGATTATGCATAAAAACCATTATAATAACATTGGCACGCGGGTGGACAGCTGTCTGATAGTTTCGTGATAACAGTCAACGCCGCCACCGGTTTTGTGTACGTTTATTCGTCCGATTTTTTGCGTCTACTCCCCGAGGCCCGAGTGGACCATCTGTCCCCGGCTGTTTTTATTTTTTCACCCTCTCGTACGTGGCAACCCCCCGTTGTGAGATCTGCGCACTTCTTTCGTTGCTCAAGAGTGTGTGTGTGATGTCCAACAACAGTGACGGTAACAGATTGTCTGGACGCGGCGACGTCTATCGTTCTACCATAACAAGTGGGGAGGTGGACCCGTGGCAACAGTCGACGGCGGGTAAGTGCAACCACCGAGATGAACTCGTTCGCTGACATGGGTACAAAACTAAAAGTGCGATCAGTTGCGCACACTAAATAAATAGAGGTAGCATATTGAATTAGTTAGGTACCTCTACATTGGCTATTAAGCTAAAGGCTATAGCCTATAATCATTCAATAGGTAGTTTATTTTTAATATTTTTTTTATGTAGCAGAATTTTTATGGTGTAAATATTTTGTAGCCATTTTGTATCCACCCACAAAAAAAATCAGGGGTAGCAACTGCACCCTTGAACCCTCCAGTATACGCCACTGAGTGCGATAGAAAAAACTATGGTCAGTGCTAGTGTGTGTTGCTGCCGCTTCTTAGGCTGGTACAAGCAACCTGAAATCTGTATAGGTTCTCAGACAGTCTTGTACTCTTGTAGATCCAGGCATAACTTGACATGACCCACATACCTAGTGTACATTCATATTCACATTAATCATGTTAATGTTGTAAAATATGCATGTATTATTATCTTATTCGCAGTATTATTTCTTTCTACAGACTCGATAAAGAGTTTGACCCTCTCCATAATCTCACGGCCAATGCAATCTATAGGATTAAGGTTGTCCTTATTAGAATATTACAAATAAAACAGTACTTTATAATAAATCAAATTACTTTTAAAAAACTATCAAAAAAATTCCATTTTAATAATATAATTGTATAAAAAAAATTTTTATTTATGAATTTATGTTCCTGGATTGTTATCTAAACTATGTAGACAGATAATATTTTCGTGTCAACTATACTAATGTTACAACACTTAAACACTTACATTCGTGCTAATTATCCAAATTCACCTTGAATTAATAATGAATTTATATTCATATTTAAAATAACTTTTTGTTACTATTTGTTGATTGTTCTATTATACCTTAGAAATTTTAGCAATGTTTTTACTTTGTTTTGTTATTAGTATGAATCTATTGTAGGTTCTTATAATTATATCCTTATTCTGGTTTTTACAAGTGCATCTTTCTTACATATGTGTGGTGGTTTAATGTTCGCCATTGCAGTGGTATAGATTTAACTGTCCCGCTTATTACTCTCATTACGCTATTGAGCGATGTATCTATTTTCCTTAAATGTGTGCTGTTGCACCAAACTTGAGGCCCATACAATACTAATAGATACATTTAATTTAAACTTAGTAAATATTATCTTTACTTATGTTGTTTTTTTTATACTTGAATATTTTTGTTAGGTCTTAATTTTAATAATATTTAACAATATATGGTACAGTTGAGTCTTGATAACTTGAATCTCAAGGGAAATTAAAATAAATTCGACTTATGTATTTTTTAAGTTATATACCTCAAACACAACTTAAAAATACTTTAAGGGGCAAGAAAAAATTTCAATTATTATAATTTATTTTTAAAATAAACAACCAATTAAAAATTGTATACATATACCTAGTGTATTTATGTACCAAACATTTAATTATTTTAAAATTGACCTTAAACTAATAATATCTATATTTTTACAGAATACAAAACATTAGCTGACAAAAGTTCTGATGACATTTTATCTGAATACTTATTGTTGGAGTTGGGGCAGAGTAAAAAGGAAATATTCAACTTTGTGCATTTAAGCCAGTCAATGCGAGTAGCTAACATCAATAGTAAGTTATTGATTTAAACGTTTATCAATATTATTACCTTAAAATGGATTCAGTTATTGGTTGTGAACATTTGGTCCAAAGAAAGAATGAGGAATTATTGAATAATTATCGTATTATTCATTTAAACTTTATATCCTGTCAGTCTAATGATTCAATACGTGCTAAAAAAAGACTAGCATCGTGTCAGGAGTGTAAATTTCAAGGCTCGCGGTTATTGTCATGTTTATATTGTGTGTGTTTTGCATGTCCTACACACTTTCTTGAACATTTCAAAAAAACTGAGCATTGTTTTGGTTTAAACCTAACCTTTAGTCATATTTTTTGTGCACACTGTGATGACTATACCTATGATGGTGACATTATGACTTTAGCAAACACATTAAATAAGGAATTATATTGTTATAAAAATAAATCCTTAGAGACAAAAGACATTGTCTTGCTTAGAAAAATTAAAGAAATTGAATATATTGATAGTGTTACTCCAGTTCCGGGATTCATCAACTTGGGTAACACATGTTTTTTAAACAGTGTACTGCAGGTACTAATGCATACACCAATGTTACGAAATTATGTTCTTTCTGACCAACATGTATGCCCGTTTCTAAAGGAGCCCAGTCGATGCATTACATGTGAAATTGGCAGAATATATCAGCAATCCTACATGTTGCAAGTTAATGTGATTAGCTTGCAAAAGTTGTTGAAAATATTTTGGGATAACACTTGGTACATGGCGTCAGCTTTACAACATGATGCACACGAATGTTTCATAGCTATATTGGATATCATACATAAACAGGCGATAATACAAAATGAAAATGACAAGGATATAAAACATTTGGAAAACTGCCAGTGTATCATCCATAAAATTTTTAAAGGTGTTTTGCAAAGTGACATTGTTTGCCAGAGCTGTAACAATGTGTCATCTAAAATTGACATAATCAATGATATTCCTATATACTTTTCAATGGACGAAAAAGGAAAATATCCAACGAATATAACATTAAGTGCATGCTTAGAACAATTTGGTCAGATAGAATTGTTGAACGATTTAGATTGCACAAATTGCCAAACAAAAAAGTTATCGACCAAACAGCTTATTTTAAAACATTTGCCAGTGGTTTTATGTTTTATTTTAAAAAGATTTGGACAGCCATCAGACAATGTTTCAAATAAAATCACTACATTTGTTGAATTCCCAGAAACACTAGATATGAACAAATTTATAAAGAAAAAATCTGTGACTGGTAGTGCCTTCATTGATGAGTGTTTTGCTTCACGTGAGTCTATCTATAAACTGTATGCTGTGATTTGTCATGAAGGTCTACTAAACGGAGGACATTATTTGTCTTACATACAACACATGGGCCTTTGGTATCAATGTAATGACAATGTTGTTAGATTAGTACAATTTGAAGACATATTGAAAAGTCCAGCATACCTATTATTCTACCATAAAGAGTTTATGAATTTCTATTAAATTCTTTAGTTTAATTATGTGTAAATATTTCTAAATAAATAATAAAATTGTAAATAATTTTAGAATTAAATATAATGTATAGATTTATAATAGCTAATACTAGTGTATGCATTTTTTAATTTTAAATTGGCTTAGTTTTTTTTATTTAAATTTAGGCAACATTATGATTTCTTCCTACCAAAATAATATAAAAACTGAATATTTGGTCTCACTTTTTACATGTATTTTTAATTATAATATTATTGTTTTCTTTCGAAACGAACCATGTGATATTTTTTTATTATTTTGTGATAATTTATCAATTTTACTTTTTTACTTTTGGCACTTATGTATACAATATTATACTATAAAGAACAAACTTAATAGAATTAAGCTTTAAGGGTAAAAGTTTAGGTGACAATATTTTTGTACCTTTACAATCATTTTAGGTTAACGGTATACCTCCTATTTAAAGCGTTATACTAAAATACTACCTTACTATAAAATAATAAACATTGTGTTACCCCTCACAGAGTATTAATTGTATTTTAATTTTTTTTTTTTTTTTATAAACATTTGTTAATTGATTTCTATGTTATTTCAAAATACAAATGAAATATAAATATTTTATGTTTCTTTTTTCCTATATTTATTAAAAAAAAACCTTAAGAGGATGTCAGCGTACTATTCGTTTTCTCTCTCTGGCCCACACGCAACATAGACAAAACGCATTTACGCAAAATCATTTTTTCCACGCATTTAAGTAATCTAAAATCTTAAAGTAAAGTCACTTTTTACAAAAAAGATAGAAAATAATATTTTTGAGGGAATGACATATCGATTTTATATTTTATTATTATTTGACTTTGTATTCGACTTTCAAAATAAACAAAAGAATGTTGTAAATTGAAATTATGTTTAAATTGTTTTGAGACAATATTTAGACAAATCGATGTCATTCCCTCAAAAATATTGTTCTCTATCTTTTTTGTCATGGGTGACTTTACTCTAAGATTACTTAAACAATTAAACTCATAGAAAAAATAATTTTGCGTAAATGCATTTTGTCTATATTGTGTGTGAGCCAGAGAGAGAAAACAAATGGTACGCTGACAGCCTCTTAACCTTTTTACATACTATTAACTGTAGGTAAACTGAACATTATTGAACCAATTCCTAATTATTTCAGTTGTATAAAGATTACAAGATATATTAGGTACAGAGTGGGCTTTAATTTGGATCTACCAAGTCTTTGAATAAGGCTACATTCCAAAACATGTCAGTATGTAATTATTGTATCAAATACATTTATTGGTTTAGGTTTTAAATGTGCTCCCAACCAATCGCGGATTTGAACAATTAACAAACATGTTTAATTGGTTCTTCAAATGTTTAACTATTTTATAATGGATAAAATATTCATACCTAAATTGATGTCTCTGAGACTGATGACTCTAACTATTAACTAACCTTTAAAATGTACTAGATGATATGTGTACAATGTACATCCCTGAGGATCAATGTACAATGTACATCACTGAAGATCAATGTACAATGTACATCACTAAAGGAGGTACCCTATTGATTATAAATAATATTTACTATCCGACATTATTGGTTTAGGATTTTAAACTGTGATTAACTGTCAATAATCAATAATTGAAAGTAAAATTCAAAATAATCATATTTTGGGGTACTAGATTTAAGTTCGAACAAAGTGTTTTACATATTTTCAAACATGAAGCTATAACAACATTTTAATATAACAACTTTATTGAAATGTAGTGTTTTTATTTCTTTATATTATCATTTTATTTACAATAACATATGTGTAAACACATTTTAATATGCAGTGGTGTGGTGAACTGAACATTTTCCAGAGGCAAGTTACAAATATCCCAAGTATTCATGCATAATAATGTATTAATGTAATATAACTAATTATATTTCAGATCATTGACTACCTTTAGAGTTTATCATATTACATTTACTAGGGGACCCACCCACACAATAAAAACCCCTCTATTTAAGAAAAATCTCAAAGCAAATTGCCTCTGAAATTACCGTTCATCACGCCACTGATAATATGTATTGAATTAACTTTATAAAATACCAGTGGTTATATTTGTGTTTATCAGTCGACTGAGATTGTTACATTCTACATTAGTTAAATAAATTATTGTGCTAATTATAAGATGATACCCGATTTATTCGTTTTTGTCTGTGCATAGATATAAAAAGTATATATAAATAAAAACAATGCAAATTTGTTTATTCTCCCAACTTTTGTCATTAACTGCGCGTTTCGTTTGGTATGACATGGTTGTCAAAGCTGAATGTATTTCAAACTTCGTTACCACCAGCCATCACAAAAATCAATCTAGGTACTAAATCCATCGCAACTAGCAACAATCTTAACTAATAACTTGATATTTTATGTTTATAGATAATAAAAAATTACTCAACAAGATTTTGCACTCCGAGGTGATAAACTCACAGTTAGAAGTTGAATTTGTATTATCATGTATGGGAGATAGTTGTCAATCTCCATCCAAGCCTCTGGAAGCTATTAATATAAATGACCACAGCAACAGAAACGATAACGAAGATAAAGATGACCAAAACGACACAGATGAACACGAGGACAAAGAAGATTCATCCCCTATTGCTTCAAAGATTTTACAATATACACAGTTAGAAGAATCAAATTTCAAATCTCACTTCTTCATCACCAGGAGCTCATTTCAAGTATATTATTTATTTCATGTATCTCAAATGGGACACATTCTCGTTATGTCGGAAACATATCAATTGTGTTGTATATATTTCTTAGATAGCTTGCGGTCATTTAATGCAAGAATACGGTACTATGGCATACAAGAGGACTGAATTTGATGTTGAAAAACAATTGCTGGTTACTCTAACATACTTGGGAACTGTTCTGAGTTACAAGTACATAATATAATATTTATTATTTGACAAATCATTAATACATTTGTTGTATTAAACCATGGGCATCATTTCAGATTTTTATGGGTGTGCAAGCGTATCATTTTTAAATTTACCAGGCTATATATAAATAGATATACCTATCCACACTATCCTATTTTAAATTTTTTTTAGATCCACATCAACATAAATAGTAAAAAAGTTAGCAAGTGGATACCACTCTGCTGTACATTATGTGTCTAGAGGGATCATTGTAATGGATGTGTTAAATTTGAATTCAATGATAATATAATATAATCATTGTATACGAAAACCGATTCTGGCTAAAGACGGTCTTCATATTTAAGTTATTTATTTTAATATTAGAGATAAGTAATAAAGTAGGTTGATTACTCATTGAGAGTATAAAACATAATAATAGACTTTGAATGATCAAGTACCCCTGAATAATATTTTTAAATGACAACAAAATAACTATCAAAATCATTGTTATATGTTGTAAGGATCTACTTTCGTCCAAATTTTTAATTTAAACTTAAAATAACAAAAATACCTTTTTGTATTTTGCAGTTATAGTATGAACTACTATACTACTCAATCCTTAGACATAAAAATTGGCAATGTTATAAACTTTTAACTGGAAAATAACTGGATAAATTACAACTTTTCATTATTTTGTACACGATAACTAGTCGAAATAATGCTTAGATTTTCAACTTCAATCTTTTGTTCGGGAAAGTGAATCTAGTTGGTGCTTTGGGGGGTTTAAAATTCCTAGAAGTTTTCAAAAGCGCCTAGAACAACCAAAAAAAAATTAAGGTAAAAAGTTTATGTAACTCTTAATGTGGTTTTTCCCGTGGCGTTAAATAATTATTGAAAAAATGACCTCTAAAGTACCATCTTGATTCAATTTACTAAAAGATAAGACACTATATGTTGAAATCAAAGCACTCCTTCTGGTAGACATTTTTTAAACAGGATACAAAAAAATCCCATTGTAAAACCACTAGCTTCCTGGCTCAGAACCTAATATAATTGAATATTATTATTAATGAATAATTATATAAAATATAATAGTGCATTATTTCAGCAGACCAATCGAGACTATTTTAGAAGTAAGAGATGCAGTGCAACACACCCTGACCCCAACCCCCCTTTTGTTTTAGTGCTTAGGCAAATTGAACATTCTTTAATTATAAATGTTAATTTGTTTTATTTAGGGAAATTGGATCAAAATTTAATATTGCTATTAGCACAGCTCATAAATGTGTTAGTGATGTCTCAAACACATTGTTTAAACGTATGGGTGAAATTATCTATTGGCCGATTAATCAACAAGCTGAATCTGAAATTGAAGAATTCAATGAAATGCCAGGAAATCGTTTTCCTGGCATACTTGGTGTAATTGGAATGGTAGACTTGAGAAAAACTTGCACAGCCAATCCATCCAAACATACCAAAGATGGGTCTTCAATTGCCATTCAGGTTAGACTACAAAATTATACCATTATTTATTTATAATTAAAAAAAATGAGCAGATAGCCCAATGGTAAACAATTACAATATTATTATATAACTCATTAATCTTGAATGCTATCTGTTTGCAGTGTGTATGCAACAACAGGTATCAGTTTTATAACGTTTTTACCAGTTATTTGCTCAAGTCATCTGTTACTTCATCAACATTCCTAGAGAGTCCATTAGCTGAAATGATTCTTAATGATCCAGACAGACTATTTCCAAACACTGAGAGTCATATTGTTGGACAGTGCTGTTTCCCTCTTCTACCCAATTTAATGACTCCATTTTCTGGTGATACTTATAATACAGTATCACAAGACGCCTATAATGATGCCATTGAGGTACCATTGAACATTGTAAAGTTGGCGTTTGGTAAACTATTAGGGCGGTTCTCAAGACTGTTGTACGTTCAAAATCAAATACGACAGTAACATGACATAAATTCATAGTTTTTTTTTTTTTTTTTTTTATTGTAATAGGTGCTTAGATTTGTGGGGACAGGACAAGTTTGCCATACTAATATTTGCTGCTAGTTGCTTACACAATATATGTTTAAGTAACGACGATGACATAGACTGTCCACCTTACGAGTGCTGCACTTTCAAATGTGATTATTATGATGAGTATAGTGTGGAAAAACGCCAAAATATATGCTCCAAAATTAGATCTTGAGTTCTATAAACGACAGATTAACTGTTTATGTAACATTGTACAAATGTGTAAAATATAATTTGAGTTAAATAAACAAATAAAGTAAACATTGAATTAAAATAGATTTGTAATTACAAATTAACATTAACATACAGGTAAAATGTTGGTATAATATATTTTTTTTTTTATGTGTGTTAGTAAACTATGGGATGTGTGGTGGCAATCTTGAAACTAACTGTTCCAACAGTCTCAACTTTTGTGTTTCTAACTCATTTGACCTTTTCAGATGTTCCAACATCTGCTGTTGAAGTCCTTCGAATACTTTTTCTCGGCTATTTAGATTTTCCTCCATTTCTTTCCACCTTAAAAGATAAATATTCATGAATAAATGAATCAAATTACAAACTTGCATTTATTACCTTTCATCAAATTCCTTATTTCTCAACCTAAACATTGTCTGTAGTTCAGTAATGCAATTTGTTTTATTATAACAGCTTGGTTTAGAAGTCCTGATATAATTGTGTTCATCTAACTCATTAGCCTCGTTTGAGTGATTGTTTACGTCACTGTTATCTGATTCGTCTTTGACAACATTTTTAGGTTCTATAAGTTTAGAATATTATTATTTTGCATTCAAGAAAAAAAAATTATTATTATTATTATTAATTTACCTCTTAGTACAGAATCAATTTTATTGTAGTACACCCAAATTACTTTTTTATTCCTGTTTGTTCTCATTCTGTTTTTGTTGTACCTATTTTTTAGTGTACGCCACTTATTGTCACAAGCTCTGGGAGTATAATTGAAACCATTCTGAGCCATTTCTTCAGATATTCTTTTCCATATCAAGAGCTTTTCACCAGTTGCAGCATTCATAAACTTTTCTTTATGATTATCAAAGCAATCTATCAAACACATAGTAGAGTCCATACTCCAGGAAACTATAAACATTAAGTTAAAATATCAACGCACCTAAAAAGTATAATTGGAGTATTTGGCATTGAACAACTTACTACTTTCAGCAGGTACACCAAGTAACCTGTCTAAATCATGGTAGTAATGCCACTTCACACTGTTAACTCCTAATTGTTTGTATTTTTCTCTTCTTTTTACATAGTTTGCTTTTAAGAGACGCCATTTACGATCACATACTAGACCAGAATAGTTGTGACCATTTTGGCGTAACTGATTACTTATTTCATCCCAAAGTAAACGTTTTTTGCCTTGTGGAGCCAACAGGAATCGTGGGCGGTAAAGACCCCATAACTCAATCAAACATTTGGTTGCTTGTTCTGTCCATATGTCTGTATTACCTGAGTATTTTTTTTAGGATTGAATCACACAAAAAAATGTATTAAAATATTGTTTTGATATCTTACCACTAGAAGGGAGTTCAATGGGTTCTTCCTCATTATTTTCAATGGTTTCATCAACAACATTCATGTGGTTATAAGCTTCATTTTCTTTTTTAATGTCATCGAGCTCATCTTCATCAATTAAAGATACTGTAATTATATCATTAAGTTCTGGAGCTATAAAAAAATAATATAAGTCAATTTTAATGCTGTTTAGATGTATTATAATCGGCTTTCTTACATCCCTCTGGAGTGTTTTTAAAAATGTTGTCCATATCTTTAAAATAACACCATTTAATGTATTCTGTTCCGTATTTAATAGCCCTTTGCTTATTCTTTTTATATGTCATTTTTAAATTACGCCATTTATCATTACAATTATTAGCTGAATATTGATATCCTAACTGCGAAAACTGATGTGCAATATCTTGCCATAACAGATGTTTTTCTCCTTGATTGGCAGCTGAAAATTTTTTCCTGTGTTTACCGTACAAACGAATCAATTCCTTGGTTGATTCGATTGTCCATGGACATTTATCAACATATCTTCCTATATGAAAAAGACATTGTTAAGTGTAATAAAATCAGTCTGAATAGTTGAATGTGTTTTATTTACTAGATGAATCAGCATTTTCATATTCCCCGACATTATCTCTATTTTCTCTTGTTAAGTCGTCCTCATCTTCATTTTGACCGTTGTTATCAATATCTTCATCATCGTCGTCGTTTTCAATATCTGTAAAAACATTTAGTATGAAATTTAAAATACTTATAACTCATACAATATTTTACCTGAAATTTCATAAGGAATGCCTTTAATGGCCTTGTCCATTTCAGAATAATGGTTCCAAATAACTGGGTGTTTATTATCTTTTTTAGAATTACGTGTCTTATTGTACATGTAAATTTTCTTAAGACTACGCCATTTAGTGTCACACGTCTGTGCATCAAAATAAAAACCATGTTCAACCAAACGTTCTGACACATGTTCCCATAGGGTTTTCTTATTTTTATCCGGGCAATTCGCAAACTGATCTCTCAATTGACTCCAACAGTAAATTAAGTAACGAATTGAAATATCATCCCAAATGTCTAAAACATAGTAACAATATATTTTATAAAAATAAAAATTTTGTAATTTTCTTTAATTCATAATTGTAAACTATTAATTTAATAACTCACTGTTGGACTGCTCGATATTAATATCGGTATCAAAAATTTCTTGCACGGTTTCATTGTTTTCATAACCATCAAAGTTATTTCCTTCCTGTTCGTTTACCATAACTGAAATAAATATGTATAAATAATTTTTTTTATTTAAATAGATGTAGTTTTTCTTACCATTGCTGTTGGTGTATATAAAATTTAAAAATAAATTACCAGGTTCATAATCATTTTCTAACATGGTATCTGCGTTGATATTTAACTGTCGGTAATCTGTCTCATTGACCATAATATCACAAAAATTTTGAATTAAACATGACAAATTATTTGGCCATTATCTATAAATAAAAAAATATGTAAGTTATCATTCTAAGTTATACAGTCAAACTTCCATTTAACAAATTGGTTTTGTAGTCCATAAGACTTTGTCACATGGAAGTTTTACCGTATTATCATATTAGAGTTAAGGTAAAAAAAAAGTATCATCTTTTTCCATAAATATACATTTTATTACCTATATTAAAAGTTAAATGTTAATATACCTCTAAAAATGGAAAGTACCTATAAGATAACAGTTTTCAGTAAGTTCAGAAATAAGAAAAAGGTTGATAATATTTTGATAAATATAAGTTCAAAATTGATTTAATATTGATGTAATTAAAAAAAAAGGGTAGGCGGTTACAAAGAAATGCAAAACATGTTTATTATTAAAATACATAAAACTGTTTAGACAAAACACTGAAAAAAAAATATGATTGGTACTTTCATAATATTTTTGTCGCTATTTGATATAGGTCATAACTAGCAGGATATAATTAAATATCTATATACTTTGTTTGTTTATAATTTACAAAGTAACACATTGTTTAAAGATTTATTCAGTAAGTATGTGTGAAATTATGACTTTTTGTCATGACTGATAATATACAATTGTATGTGACTGATCTCTTGGCATAAAAATAATTAGTGTCATCTACAGACACAGACTGCGCATCTCCACACTGCACAATCGCATAATGCCATAATGGAACAGGTATTGAGTTACAATGCGCAGAATCGGTGTTCTATCGCTGGACAGAGTATATTATAGTCAATGATACTAGACATAATATAGTAAGTACAATAATTATTTAAGAAAAATTGAGTTTTTAATCCCGTTACTTGTTACAACATTTATTAAGACTAACGGGATTATAATAACCAAGATTTATTTTGTTAGCCAATGTTAACTATTAGTTTGATGTTTCAAAGAAGTAACAAAAAATCATAATCTTGAAAAAAAAAAATTTCGCAAGTTAGGTCTGAGAGAAGTGTCCGCTGCTAACCGGCAGTAATAACAACAACCCATATTGTCATTAAATTGTGAAATAAATGCGAATCGTGCACAGCAATAAATTACTACAGAAGATTTTTAGGGCCACCTGTCGCAATGGCATAGCCAAGGGGGAACTGCAGCCCCCACCGCTGAAATGTTAAGAAAACGTAATAATTATTTTAATGGTCTATGATAGTCGCTAAGAAAGTCTTAAATTGTACTTAAAATATTTAAAAACGTACTAGGTATAAGTATTAACACTTTTCGGCTATCAATCTGTGCTAGTACGTATTTAATGTGTAAAAGTATAAAAGTTTATCAGCCCCCCCCCCTAGGGGCGTAATTAGGGGGGATTAAAGGGATAGATCCCCCTCCCAAAATTTTTTTTTCACTGCTTACATTTTGATCAAAGTATTTATAATGACCATTCATGTTAACTAAAATTCATGTTTACGTATATCCCCCCCTCACCCCAAAAAAAAATCCTGGCTACCAATGTCCTGAGCGGAGACATTGCACAAACTAGTGGCTATGACCGAAAGACGAACGTTGAACCATTGATTAGTCTATTCTATAATCAATGGTTGAACAAAAAAAGTCGTTACTCGTTATTATTGCTATTATTAGGATAGCGGACTGTCGCGAGACGATGCGATACTCACGGGATCATGCTGTTTACCTTGGGTCGAATATGTCGACGTGCATCGGTACGTTTTCGTTGTAGGCATTTGTAGGCTCCGGTTGCCTAGTGGCGGTGGTCAGATGCTAGCTGTGTCCAGTGTAACGTCAGCCAACTAAACAGTTCAGACAGCGCGGAACAAATCAGAACTGTGGTGAAACGGCGATACGCGTCGTTTACTGTCTTCTCGAACGGTGTTCGTTTTATCTATATTCAACGCTAAACAGTGCGAACTGCAAACACAACGTACCGTTCGCATGCGTATTACGTAATTAACATGGCCTATCAATTTCTATATTATCAATGCGCGCAACGGATGAATTCTCGCGTCTTTTCCAAGGGATATTCCGTTTCCGTCTGGTAGAACGTGGTAGAACGAATCATTATAATATTATGGTAGTGCGAGTGCCCATTATGAAATTATAGTATGTAGGCAAAATTACTTATTGTACAGACGTTGTATAGATTGTAATTAAATAATAAATATATTTTCAACGTAATATTATGTTAATGTGGTGGGTATATTTAATAAATTGTTTTGTGCTATAATAAATATAATATGGGTTAATGCGTTCTAAAACACCGTGATGAAAGTACATTTTACCATAGAACAATTATAGAACATTTTAGTAAATTTTTGTTGATAAACGATAATCTACTAATTTAAAAACCACGACCTTTGCATACCTTAGCACAGAATAGAGAAATGACCTTAGTAACCGATCTACGGACGAACGACATATTATCATTGAATTTTAATTCGTTATCTATGTATTCATTTTCATTATTCGCCGCCAGGAATTATTATGCTCTGGCGCTCTGCCAGTCTGCCAGTGCCACTCTGCCACTGCCAGTCTGTCTTTCTAGTGTAGAACCGCTACAACTGTTGTAGTACGACTTCGATCGTCATTCGTCAGTCAGAGGCGTCAGAGCTTGACGGTTTTCCGTTTTCCTCCTGTGCTCCCGAATTGTTCAGTTGCTGCTAAAACGACTTACAGTATATCTTCGACTTTGTAGCCCATACTTGTTAAATATTAATAAAGTAAACAATTACCATGTCTGGTTGTAACGAAGAGGTCAATTTGCACGAATGCCTGGAACTGATCACGAGACTCGCGCGACACGCCGGCAAGGTGATTGGGAAAAAAAATCAATTATTTGTATAATATCGGTAATTAGTATTCGGCGGTCCAAACTCTCGCTAATTTATTTCTGTAATCCTACTGCCATTGTTGAGATATTGTATTTCTTACGATATTATTACACCGGTGGTTCTCTATTACTAATTAAATAATCACTGTAGATTACCGTTTATTTCATAAATCGTATTATACCTATTCATATTTGTATATTAGACTACAAAAAAAATTACATAATCCTGATATAGAAAAACATACCTACAAAACATTCCATTAAGTGAATTTCTATAGTAATATTATTAGGTAATTAAATCATATACAATTATAGATATTACCACCTACTCTTCAGTATTAATTTTTCCACTGTAGCTTATAAATGGGAGAGTAAGTCGGAGGGTCTGTATATAATTAAAAACTTTTATTGTACATAGGTAGGTAGGTGGGTAATAGGTTCGGTTTTTCCTCCTGTTCAAAAGTTATTTATACTGTTTATAATAATATATCAATTTTTAATTACTCATGGAAAATATGTAGGTAGTGGATATAATTTACTTAAATGAACGAATAAAATTATCTATATTTAATCCAGTCGAAACTTAAGAGGACATCCGGACGTGGCATCCACATAATATGTTGTATCTGTCACTTACGACATATCAAATTTTACTCTCAGAAGATCACGTTTGGCCCTGTTAGTTTAAAAATTATGGTGAATTTACCCATTATAAAATTTAAAGGTAAGATTATTATCTAGTGCATCTCATAGGTAGACTTTTTGTTATATTTTAATTTCAAAGCAAGTTTTGAGTATTTTAAGATGTACAAACAATTTATAATTTTAAAATACTCATAACGCGCTTTAAAATTAAAATATAATAAAAAGCCTTTGAGTTGCCATAGATAATAATCTTACCTTTATATTTTGTAAGAAGTAACTTTAAACTAACGGAGCTCCTGAGCATAACATTTTGTACGTTTATAATATGAAACAGAGACAACATTACATAATATGTGGGTGCTTTTTAATTATATTATTAATTTATATTTTCATTTTAAAATGTTCATTTTATTCAATTATTTTATTTACTACTATAAATTTATCCTAATAATCTACATAATATATAATATATAGGTACAATACTACCATGGTCCTCCCCACTCCCTAGCCCCTGGGTATAGTACATCACTTACCATATACTTCCTTATATTTAAATATTAATGCATTTTACAATTATTTCTAGATTATAAAATCTCGAATCAATAAGAAAAAAACAATCGAGACTAAAGCCAATAATTCAATTGACTTTGTCACTGAAACAGATCAAGAAGTAGAAAAGTTACTTATTGAGGGAATCAAACAAAAATATCCACATCATAAGTATATCATTATTCATTTTACAATCATGGTACTGTAAATCATTCATTCATTTATAATACCTAACATATAATTTAAGATTCATTGGTGAGGAATCATTTGCTGCTGGCATTAAAGAAAAACTGACATGTGCTCCGACTTGGGTCATTGATCCTGTGGATGGTACCACCAATTTTGTGCACAGTTATCCAAACGTTTGCATATCTATTGGTTTGGTTGTTGGCTGTGATGTTAAGTTAGGAGTTATCTTCAATCCCATATTGGACATGTTTTTCAGAGCAATCAAAGGTGAAGGTGCATTTTTAAATGATGAACCTATCAAAGTCAGTGGCGTTAAACGTAAATATTTTGAGAATCACTTAAGTTTATTTTGAAAACAAAATACTACCTTATTGTTATTTTTTTAGAACTTACTGATGCTTTGGTGGCTGTAGAATTTGGTTCAGTAAGAACTGAAGAATTCAGGAGTATTGTGAACCACAACATCAATTATCTAGCAAAAAATGCCCACGGGTAGATTCTTAATATTTTCCCACCAAGCAATAGTTCTTTCAAATCATTAAATAAAAATTGTTTTAGTGTTCGTTCAGCTGGTTCAGCTGCCTGGAATTTAGCTCAAGTAGCTAGAGGAGCAATTGATCTGTATGTGGAAATGGGTCTCCATGCATGGGACATGGCAGCGGGAGACATTATTGTGAGAGAAGCTGGTGGTACTGTGATCGATCCGGCAGGTAATTATTATTATAATTATCTAATGCAGTAGTTCTCAGCTGGTGTTCTGTAGCATACAAGTGTGCCCCAAACTGTTTGTTGGAGGGCCGCCACACTATCATATTTAATAACATTACAAATTTCCCAGTTTTTAATTTTTGTTATCAATAACAGTTACATTTTTATAGAAGTGTTATTTTAATTACACTCATTGTTTAACGGCCAATATTGTGAACAACTATTAGTCTTTCTACACAAAAGTCTTCTAAAAATTGTGGTTTTAGTATAGTATTTTCAAATAAACATTATAATTTTTATATACTATATTACTATATTGTTCTGTCAAAATGTACTGTTATAAAAGATGTGCCATAGTCCACGAACATAAAAAAGTTGAGAACCACTGATCTAATATATTAATAAAATAAAATATTTATATACTGTACATTTATAATTATAATATTCAGGTAAAGATTTTGAATTGATGAATCGAAGGATATTAGCTACATCGTCATCAGAGATTGCTGAAGAAGTGTATTCAAACTTCCAACAATATTATCCAGAACATGATTAAAAAAATAATTTTCAACTGTTATATATTAAGCCTTTATCGTAAATAATGTTTTAGTATGGTTTAATGTTTTATCAATATTTTTTATATACCAAAAATTACTTAGTAGCAAAGAAATTATTTTATTCAATACCGCTGTTTTTTAAATTAATTAAGGATATTATATAAAACACTGTTTGGACATGGGTATTCTATTAACCATTTATAAATTATAAATTATTAAACATGTATCTAGTCATATGTTATATGTTGAAAAATAAAATTGTTCAGATTAAAAAATATAACCGTCGTTTAATTCAAATAAAAAGTAACAAAATTGATTAATATTTAATAAATATTTTTAATACTATACTATTAATCATGTGTATCATGCAATATAGAATATAAATAAATCATAAGTAAAAAATATCGATTGTAATAATCACCAAAAAATTAGTGTATTTATAGATTGTTTTTGTAAACTGAGACCTATAACACCTCGTTGTGGATCCTTGATAGAAATGTTGACTGGTTTGTTCCTCCTGAAAACATGAACATTTCGTTCAAAATTTGAAACATAAGATAGCCAACACATATTTTGATTAATGCTGTTCAGTCAGACCGATTTTTTTTATTAACTGGTTTTGACCGGTTAGACTGTTACTGCCTTACTTCACTCAATCGGTCTTATTTCGGTTAAACCGGTCGACGTTCAAAACGGTTTAAATTTAGTTAAATCGACCAAAACTGTTTAATCGGTCTTGACCGAATTTAGTATTAAGTGAACATCAAGCATCAACTATTAAGAACTTAAAGATACGTATTATATTAATTCTATAAGATGTGTGTATAAAATATAATAATATATTCTAAAAGTTTCAAGTAACCACTAACCACAAATAATATTTTTAAATTACAACAAAATAACTAAAATCGTTATTCTTGGTTTTAATATGGAATTTCGTCCAAATTTTTAATTAAAATATCTGTATAATATTTATATAGACACTAGGTACCTATATAATATATTTCTACATCTAAAGTTTACTCTGTACATCGCAAATACAATCTATTTACTTGGCTTCTTTTAAAGTTTTATAGGTAGTTTTAAAACTTAAACAATTACAGCAGTTTTAAATAATTGGACCATTACGGTGGTAACGTCAACTTGCGAATCGCAAGTGGATTAGAAATAGCTGAAAGGGATTGGCGTTTTTTGGAAGAATTACTCGATTGTTTAAAACTTTTTGAGTTGGCCACAAAAATTATGTCTTTTGAAAGTTCACCTTTCACCATCAATCGTATAACCACTAATTCATTCAATTAGAGGCAATTTTTTAAAGTTAAATTCTGGTGATTCAAATCCTCTTCGTGAGTTTAAATCGACAGTCAAAAAAGATTTTATCACTCGATTTTCCACTAATGGGAGATATAGCCAAAGCTTGATGGGTAATTCTCAACCAACATTATTAGATATATGCTCATTTTTCCACCCAAGGTTTGAACGAGAAATGGGCATATCCAATAGAATAAAAGAACTTTTAAAAGAAATAATCAACAATGATATTGACAACGAAGCCCCTACTCAAGACACAGAAGAAAATCGTACAGCTTTTGATTTTATATTTCCATCAGACAATCAAATAGTAAATAAATCTTGTGAAGTAACAATTTATGACGAGGAACCCCAGATAGATAAAAATAATGATCCCAGTTTGGGGTGGCAAAAAAATGAAATACGGTTCCCAAAATTAGCTAAAATAGCAAAAAAAATATTTAAGTGTTCCCGGAACTTCAACTGCTGCTGAGAGAGCTTTCTCTAAAGATGGTAATATTATAACAGCTAAACGAAACTGTCTTTCCAGGAAAACTGCAGATATGCTGATATTTTTAGCTCATAATACAAAAGTTCAGTAGGTATAATTATGAGTTATAACATTTGAATTAAAAAAAATATATTTTGATTTGTATTCATTTTTTATTATAATATAATTTTTAAAGTTTTAAAGTTTTAATTTCAAAAATAGGGTCATTGAAGGAAAATGACTAAACTAAATACTCTGCAATATAAATAATTATGTTTTAAGCTATTATAAGTTTATTGAAATAAGGATGTGATAAAATGTTTGTTTTATAGTTCAGTGGTTCAGTAAGTTAAATTGATAGTTGATACTACCTATTTAATGTTTAAGAACAAAATTGGGTTTATCATTTAATATTAGGTACTAAATTAATTTTACAATTAAATAAAACTTATCAAGCTATTATATGCATTTTAAAATAATTATACAATTTTCATAATATTAAATAATATGATGGGATTGGTGGAAATAATTTATGGTACCTAATCACTAATCAGCTGTAATCTGTGTTTAGTTTCGATTTCGAAAACTACCAAATCAGTAAGTAATTAGGTAGGTATTGGTTGGAAAATTTGAAAACTTAAAACTTCGGAATTTAATATTATCCAATTGATACAGTTTTTAGTTTTTACATCATGTAAATTCTATATTTAAATATTTAATATGAAATTCATTATAGTGTAACCGAAATCACTTTAATTCGGTTTTGACCGAAATAACCGAAATCGGCTAATTCGGTTTTGTCCGAAATAACGAAATCGGTTAAATTCGGTCGAAACTGAAACCGGTCAAGTTTGAACTCGGTCACTCGGTCTTCAAAAAATATCTAACCGAACAGCATTAATTTTGATGTCTATGTGAGTTAGACCTTAAACTTGAATATTAAAAAATTTCAAACATCCAGTATTATAAAAAAAAATCGTCCTGACTCCTGACAATAAATTTATTAAAATATAGTTAAAATTTTCTGTATTATACAAATGTTATTAAAACTACCTGTGCAATTATTTCTAATTCAAGGTTACTTTAAATAAAAATAATAAAAACAATATTTTATGATTCCTATAGGTACTTGAATTACGTTTCCTCGAGAATAAATTATTTATCAATTGTTTAAAACTCAATTTCATATCAATTAAAAGGAAAAAAATGTTTTGTAAGATGTATAATGTGTTTAATTAATCAATTTAATATAATATATAGTTGAATGGGTTGAATATCTATCATTTTAATTTGATTCATTTTATAACTTAATATGTTCAGACGTTCAGTTATAGATATTGATGGTTGAAATACCAACTACCTATATTGTGACCCAGGAAAACATAATTTTACGTGAGACTCTTATTATAGTATATTATGATACTTATAAATTATCGTTTTTTTCATTCAATAATAACTAATAATTGATGAATCAATAAACTTAAGGATTAAGTTGGGAATTATTATAAATATGATAATAATGATGACAACATTTTTAATTTAATTGAGTTTTTATTATATTTTTAATAGGACTCTGGGACTCTGGGTTACATTTGGGTATTTGTTGTGACTAAATTTATAAAATAATATTATTCTACAATTTTGTTATGAACTGTTTTATTTTCAAATGTTTCAAAATGTGATACAAATAAAACGTTTAATTTAGTTTGATGATAATAATGATAATATTAATTCTCATCATAATTCAAATGGCTAGGAAACTCTCACGAAATATTAATTATTTATAACAGGTTCCCCAACCACATGACAATATTCTACACGACTGCGTCTCTATAAGCTATTAGTTGTTATGGTTATCTATAGTTATATAGTATATTATATTATAGTATCATATATTAGCCCGAACTTAAGAATATTAGTTAATAATATTTAACATTTTTTAGAAAACTAGCTTTGCTTATTTAAATAAGTATCGTATTTACAATACTTGGATTACAAATTGTAAACAATTTTTTTTACTAATGATTAATATTGGTGCATAAACCAATAGGTTAGGCATACACTCGTATGTCTAAAGTCTTAGGTACCTACCTAAGATATATTGTCTGTGTAGGTTGTATATAGGTATGTATGAAGTTCCTAATAAATAATATAACGAATACCTATAGGTACTAAAGTCTAAATGCATTAAAGAATATAGTTACCTGTTGTATAGAACAATAACCACTGCTCCATCAGGCCTTTTAAAACCGACTGACTTCACAACGGACGTCTGTGTCAACTTTATGCGCGTAGAACCTCTGGAAATAAATTTTGAAAAATGTCCAATCGCGTAGAACATTGGTTGCTTGTAGAATTCATCTTTAGTTTTGTCAACAATAATGGGTGAGTCGATAAAGTTAGACACCCAGGTCGGACCTCCTGTCATGTCTAAAGCTAAATTCCACTCCACCCATCCTTGCACCCAATGATTTAAATCCTGAAATTAAATTTAAAAAAGACCGTATCCATTTTTACCAAGGTAAGTATAATACCTAAGGTACATACATATCACATAATGAACGTACAAATCTATGCGCTAAAATTTCATCGAAACTTGAAAGGTATGATATTTATATAATATTATGATGTATTGATGTAGGGTGTTTATTAAATTCCATATAAAATATTACCTGCGGGCTTGGACATATTTTATTTTTAATTTGACATATTTATACCAAATTTTATTTAATTTATTTATTATTTTATCATTACTCTTTATATAATTTCAGATAGAAGTATAAATCTAGAAATATAACAAAAGTACCTTCTTCCGAAGCTCTGTGATTTTAGATAATATCGAAATATCGACCACCCATATACGATAAATAAATAAATAACCACCCATATACGTATACAATGTGATTTAGTCAATATCTTATCCTCGATAATTTTGATGATCCCTCTAGAGTCTAAATGGGTTATTTCAACTTTTGTATTAATATTATTGAAACATTATTAAGTTTTGATATTTTTCTGTGAAATGAAACTTTTATGACCTACTCCGCACCTATACTCATGTATAATGTATATATATATATATATATATAACCTATAGGGTATAATATTATATACATTGACATTGTTTATAAGTCGTCACTTGTACCTAGGTGCCTTGACTATTTCGATCAAATTCGGCCAAGACAGCGTTAATTTTGATCTGAACGACAGAAAGTATACCGGCTAGGTAGCCGGTGTGTATATTATTATACCTAATAATTAATTTAGATGTAAAATAAAATGTATTACGTCGATGATGTTGTTCGCGTAATTTTCTGCTCTGGCCCAACTTCCCAATTGCACTTTTACGAAATCCCACGGCTTGTCACCTGAATAATGAAAATTGATTTAATAAAATTACCAAAACCGTTTTGATCACTTTAAGGTAGGTATTTGGCATATGACTGTATATTATATATTGTTCAAATGTAATCATACAATTGTCGAGTAATATAGAAAAAGTTAAATTATCATGTCTGAAACTTATGAAAACTGCGGATAAAGTTGATCTTCATATTAATGATAACAACACAGAATATAATATAAAAAAGAACAAATAAGGTTAGAAGTGTTCGAAAGGAAAATTCTGAGAATGATTTTTGGACTATGCGAGGATGGGCATAATCAATAACTCCAGAACCTTTTCCAACGCTCTAATATTACAAAAGAAATCTCAGCCAGAAGACTGCATGGATGAAACAAGGATTAATAGCAAGAACCGCGTAATCGAAAACGACTTTTGGGAGGACTGCATTGCTAAAGATGTAGGAAGGATAGAAGCTGAAATACAATGGAGGGTAGCTGCGGATGCATGAGGAATAGGTATATACTTGGAAGGCTGGTCTTAAAGGCCGTTATCCCTAGTAAAAAAAAAGATCCAACATTAACACACCTTGCGACGCTTCAGTGTTCATTATGATCTTGTCACCAAAGTTCTTGTGCACTTCATTCAAAACTTTAACAGGAACGATAAAGTCTAAGTACCAGTGCACGGCTATTCCATCGATGTGCTTTGCGCATTGTTCGTCGCTCATAAGCTGTAGAAAAATAAGTTTAGCAATATTTTATTTAAAGTTATATAAACAATATACATTCACATTCTTGTACTTTTATGTTTAAACTAATACCAGCTATACCTAACCTATGTTTAGATCTATGTATATAAATGTATTTGTATATAGTCTAATTAATTATTATTTATTGAACATGATAAATTACTATTCAGTTGACTAAATTATTTGTCACTGACTACAATTAATAATTACTATTTAGTATTTACTATTAATGAGTTTTTTTAAATAATTATTTAAATGACCCGGACTGTGTAGAATATAAATGATGGGTAATCGTCGCCCAGCTATAGGTATGTCATAAAAAATATATAAATAAATAATATGCAAAAGTTTTCAAAGTCCTAAATTAATAATTCCTCTATCTTCAAAAGCGGAGCTACTGGATAAAATCATACCCCTCCCCCCAAGACAAAAACCTAAATACGCCACTGATCGCCACATAACAGCTACTCCGTACTTATAGACATATCAAGATTGGTCTCTTGGTTAAATCAAAATCAAAAAAAATAATATTAGATTACGTACTGACAGGCACGTACACAAAAAAAAAATTCGGGGAGAGGGTTGAACAACCGAAACCCCCCTCTGTATACGAGCCTGCGTACTGAGCTGTATAGCCGCTGTAGCATTGAATAGGTACGTGTTTAAGTAGGTGCCTAGACTCTATAATATTATTATCGCCAACCAATAGGTAATCAATATAGGTGATATAAGATATTATCTTACACAAAAAAAATCTATTAAAAATAGGTTAAAATAATTTCCAAGTACAAGTAAAAACAGTATAGTACCTATATACAGTATTACAGTACCATTTTCATCCACCAAGGCAATACGATCCTCTGGTCGTCGATGGCGAACAACAGCGTTCTGTTGTGTTCTGAACTCCTTAACCGGGGCCCCATGTGACGTCCGATCCATTCACGGTGTGACATCGGTGTCCAGCCCATAGAATTGAATCGGTTAACGGGCACGATACCGTTGAGCGGTTCGTTCCCTGTGGTCAGCGCCCAGAAAGTCAGGTTTTGTTTGCTGTACGCGTTCAAAAATCTTCAACATATCGAAGACACGAAACATGAAATCACGAAATTTACAATAATTGTAGGTATATACCTATATGGTTATACTCATATAATTTATAATTTATATAATATGTATATTATGTGGAGGCTACGACGATGTGGACGGGCCCAAATACATTATACTTTCCAAAAATCCCTTTTATTTTTATACAAGAAAAACTGATTTCAAAACCTGTAGTTTTGCTGTTCGATTTTTTACTAAAAAAAATTGGGAGTCTCAAATTTGGAGGGTGTTTAAAACAATCTTTGCAAATAAAATTTGCAATAGTTGTTATTACATTTTATATGTGCTGCGCACTTGAGCCAAGCCACCACATACGGTACCAGCAAACATAAATATTATGCAGATTATCGCATATTATAATGTATGCAATCCTTGATATGAATAGGAATACCTATAAGATAAGGTAAGGTGTAATATGTATACATAATAATATTATATAGAATAAAGTATTGTATTTAGATATATAGAGTATAGAGTACCTATACTTAAGTACTATTATTAAATAGTAGGTAGTTCTATTACCCAGTGGCGCCCAAGACATATTTTTCAGGTGTAGTAAGAAATAATTTTACCCACCCACCCACTCACGACTTACAAACTCAAAATTATATTGTTTTATATAGCGACCTCTAAACCTGGTTATAGGGTTGGGCAATGGGCGCTACTGCTATTATCTATAACCACACTAAATTAAAAAATTTAAGTAAGTGACGTCATTTCAGTTTTTATTAGACTAGGGCAACTTTTCACTGCTTTTCCGACTCAACATTTTTATAACTCAGATTCTCATAGCATAGTGCCATAGTGGTTAAAGGGAGGGAGGCGGTAAATGTGCCGACTTAAGGTTGATGAAAATACTAGACTGGGACAAATGCCCCGGTTGCCCCCCCCCCACAAATGACGCCACTGGTTTATAACAATCACGATTATACTCTCAAATACGATGATATGCGATAGTATAACAATATGATAATAAATATGTTATCGTTTACTTTATATGGTATTCCGCCCACGTTTCCATGAATGTTGGCTTGAGGAAACCTATACCAGAATAGTCGTTGTTGGTTTTCATCCACGGCGGGGCTGACCACGCCGACCCGATCAACTTAATTTCGTCCGACGCCATACTCATTGCGGTCTTTATCAGTGGTATCTGAATATAGGCATTATAATAAGGGACGTATATAAGTCTGCAGTTTATATAAATCTGTAGGTATCTGAAGCTCGACAACCTCGAACAGTGGAGGATGGAAGGGATTTAAAGGTTTTTTTTATATAACTCATTACCTATATAGAGTCTTCCACATTCAATGACGTATTATATTATAACATTGGATGGTGAGTGAGTACCAATGTACCATCGCCTATTGGGGTGCAAATTACTAAGGGATTTAGGAGCTGTGGTATATTACAACTGTCCACTACCTACAACCATCGTCCATCGTAATTCGTCAATCAAGAAAAATAAACATTATTTAACAAAAAGATTATGAGTGTTTGTAAGTTATTGCAGACTTTTTGCATCCAAATAATTACCAATTCAAGTTAATTTGTTTAAGATAGGCTTAATAGGGACGACATCAAAACTTTACATTTGGCATTGAAACTCAAAATAATTCTCTGCCCACATTAAACAAGTTCTCGATTATTTTTTTTTTAAACAGTAGGTATTATAATATAATATAATATAATTAATATAAATTATTATAATTTGACAATATACAGTTGATATTAGTATTAAATATCAATAAATCATACACATTATTATAATCTAATTTGTAAATTAGATATAATATAGCTGGTACCTTGTATTCTGCGTCTTCGGGGGCCAGGTCAAAATTGTTCAGGTCAGGAATGCCTTTGCTGTCGGCGTACGTATATTTGCGCGTCGAGAAATCAGTGCCGCCGATCGGCACTCGTCCAATGTTATACTTGATGCCGTCGTCAGCGAAATAAGACCTATGGTATTACATGACAGATCGCAAAAATTAAATTTAAGAACTATATCTAATCCAACTAATTACTTTTACATAGGATATTTTAATACAGATCAAGAAAAGTACTGGGATTTTTTTTATTTTGAAAGCATCAATTATAGGTAAATTTTACTAATTATCAGAAACTGAGAAACCAACTTTAGTATTCAAGCATTTCTAGAAATTGTCTACATTACAAATTACATTAAATTAAAAAAACCTAAAGTTACTCTCATATTTTTTTATAATCGTAGTAAGCAAAACTTTTATGGAATGACGAAGGAGCATAGGTGGAAATAGAAAAGTGGCCGGAGTCTATTATATGACTGCATCCGAATTGGTTCCCATACCTATAAAGCGTCCGAACTTATTCGGACGTTTCAGAACCAATTATGATACACCGGTTATTATAATATGAGATGCCCAAAAATACCGAGCGAAAAGTATACCTTAAAGTATTGAAAATCATATAATGTCCGAGAAATGTATATGACATTCCCCGATTCCAGCTATAGCCTACACGATGACCGTGTAACATAATATTGTATTATATTAATATGACCGAACTATCGTTTCAACACATTTCACGGTTCACACATAAGTCATAAATCATAATTGTACGCATAGCTTACTTGAGAAGATTCAGTTGGGTGTTCGGGCTCAGCGCCATGACATTGATGCCCACCGAGTCTGTGAACGCGCCGCCGAACCCGTGAATGGTTTGGTACGTGGTCGTCGCATCCACGTCTATCTCGTCGCCGGACCATTGCGAGTCGAGCGACGGCACGAAAGACCCGCTGCTCCTGCGCATCCGACTTCCGGCGTTCGAAGACGTGTACAAAGCGTACTTGCCGGCCGACAGTGTTTCCGGTTCCGGTGTCCGGTCGCAGTACGTCGAGTTGCACACGCACACCGTGCCGTACGCGAACTTCCTGGGCAAACAGTCGTCCGCGGCCGTCGCTGCATCTAATATAAATTATTAGCATGTTGATATTATAACGTTCTATACAAGTCATATTATATAATATAGGCCTAGGCATAGGCGGATATTGGAGGGAGGGCTTAAGCCTTCCCCTGAATGTAACAAACCACACTAGATGTCAAAATAAAATATTGTATATTTTAATATACCTATATAAACTTGGTGCCTCTGCTATAATAAAGTAGGAGTACTGAGTGGCCACTAGTTAATATGTTGAAGAGTTTAAAAATGTATGTTTACGCTAATGGATAGGACAAAAATGTTAAGCCACCCCACGGATGTGACCAAATATCCACCTTTGGACCTATGAGAAAAGATTTTAGGATTGAATAGATTTTTGAACACTTTTAAAATTTAAACATTAAACTTCAATGGATAGTGTTATGTGTTTGTCTTGTCATCTCCAATACTGCATAATATAATGTATAATGTACATTGTACCTACCTACACACTGTGTATAACTCACGATATGAAAATACTTTTTTTAATGTAGGTATTTTGAATTAATTAAATTAAATAATTATTTGCAGATAACTATTTTTTGTTATATTAGTTAGGTAATAAATTGTATTAGCTCAGATACGGTTTTTCTAAATATCAGTAAATGTAATATACCTAAGCATTGATCTGAATATATTTATCATAAATTCTAAGTTATTGTTATATTTTCAAAATCCTTAAAATACTAGTGTCCATGCACATTGCACATTGCAATGATTAAGCACATATGCATACCGTTACCGTATAGTTAGTAGTTATATACCTACCAGCACAGACTTCTATATAATAATTAATATTATATAGTATTATATAGAAGTCTGTGCCTACCAGCTACCTAGTTAGTTTAATATTTATTATTCTTTTTACCGTTTAGTCCAGTCAACGTCATTATTGCCACCATAGACAATATCCATTTCAGTTGTGCCGCCTGTAACACAAAATGTTTCGCAATTGTAATTTATAGTTAGCAAACTATAATATAGAAAACTAGAAAACTGCAATAGTCCAACTATTATTGAAATGTGAGGAATAATATCAGGTATTTACATGTTTTTAATGGTCTAATATCTCACTAAAAGGTATAGACAACTCGTTGCAATTTGCAAATTAGGATGCACCCGGTAAGAAAGAATATGCTGTGGAATAAATTTATTTATTAAATTAACGTTGCCCCCCTTATGACTTGCGAAGTTGTCCAATATAAAAGCAAACTTTTTACGGCTGTACAATTTATTATTATTTATTATTATTGTAATAAATAATAATATTGTTGTCACGTCATACTCACATCGTTCTACACCGTTAGCCGTTAATTCTCAAAGGTAACAATATAGCTATTGTCCGATACAATTGTACTCTAATCACAGTTTTTTTTTTTTTGGAAGGGGAGGCTAAATCATTTGGAGATAAATCGTTATAATACATTTGAATATCTAATGCCGTACAATTTTTAACTTTATCGTTCATAAAAGATTTATGGGTGACTTTATGAAACCATTTTTTTAAAACTAATTTAACATCTAGAATAAAAAAAAACTTATGAGGACTCTTGTATTGAATTATAAAGACTTCGATGTTAATAAGTTTAACAGTTAAACTTAAACATTTCATACATTTTTAACTACAAAATAATTTTTCCGGTACCAGGCCCCGCGCTATCGAAGACCCCGTGCTTTGCACATTTACCTTATCAAAACTACTTGAGCAACAATAATTTAAAGTTTATAAATGTATTGATATTAATTACTGTGTGGTACTACTTTAGTATTTATAATTAATGCTTAATGCTTAATACTTATAGTTAATAATGACTATCGGACTATTGACTTTTATTAATTTATGAAAAGTATTGTTGAGTTTGAGTATCTACCTATTAATATGTTTATTAAACCTTCCGAATGCAGTGGTGCCCGATAGGCTACGGTGATGCGTAGTTATTAGTTAATACCTAATCAATAATTTCTCAAAAAAACTGTATTTCTCTATACCTAAGTGGTAATACTGATTTGCTTACATTATTGAGTTACATGGATAGAATAGGTTGATCTATAAATAAAAGTACAGCTAATTATCAGCTTATTTTCTTCGTAATTTGTAATTTGTATGTCTACACCATGAACTAAGAAGATCTTCTTAGTTCATAGTCTACACCGAATTTTACTTATCATGCGGGGACTTGATAATATGGTACTATTATTATTATTATTTTATTTTGAGAACCCTCGACGTTATTGCCACTAGCGAAGAGCGAACTACGAACACTTATTAAGTAAGTAATTATTTTTATCATTAGACTATTAATTTCTATATAATTGTAATATATATATCATTATATTATTTATTTTATTTGACAGTTTATTATATAGTAGATTTGAGTGTCTTATTATTCTGAATTGGTAGGAATTCATATTTATTATTATTGCTATCACAACATTTTTTTGTCAAGTTTTGTGATCTTGGTGTAAATCAATATAAATTCGTAAAAAATACTTGGTGGGAATGTGTATACTGTGTAGTTAAGAGGACGCTACACTCGCATGTGTTGTCTCTGTCTTACAAATGTCTAACATAGAAAAAACTGTTTTGCTCGGGAAAGAACCGAGAAGGCTACAGTCATAACTCATAACCAAGAAACAAGATTTGTACCACGTAAAAAGGAGAACTTTGTCTGTGCAACGTTGTTTTTATTTTTTTTAATATCACTTATATGAAAGAAGTTCTTACTGTTTCAAAAACCATTTTTGTTTGTGTTTTTCAAACTAGAAAAACTTTTTTCACATAAATGATATCAAAAAAATAAAAACATCGTTGCACAGCCAAAGCTCTCCTTTTTATTATATTATATTTAAATATATTTAAATATATTTAAATATATATATTAGCGAGAATCGGCTTTTGCAAAAAAGTAAGTAAAGTAAGTAAGTAAAAAGTTTTATGTGGTGAAAATCTCGTTTCTTAGTTATGAATTTAGCCTTCTCGGTTCTTTCCCGGGCAAAAAAGTTTTTCTATGTTGTACATTTGTTAAGACGGAGACAAGTAGACAACACATGCGAGTGTAGCGTCCTCTAAGCAGACTGCCTGCCTATGTAAGACTGACATTTTAATTGTCGTTGTTTCTTCGGAAATTATGTGTACGAATGAAAAGTGTTCGAATATTATAAATAAGAAAATTTTAATGTTCGAATATTATTTTTATTTTGGAATCAACAAAATGTAATTTTTCGGTACAAAAATTAACTATTGTTATTATTGTTTATAATTTAATTATACAATTAAACATGATATTATAATATACACTACACAATCGGTAGTCCAGTAAGCGTAACAAATTCATGAAATCGGGGAGACTTATTCACATTTATTTAAACCATTATTAAGGGACCCTACTATTGACCGAATCGTGTGCCAATAGCCATTTTGTATATTTTGTTAAGTGTTCAGGAAGATAACTCTTTCATAAAAAAAAATTTCCCACCAGGCCCCGCAAATTCTTGAGCCGGCAATGTATGTATATAGATATATCAAACGTCTATAAATGGCAGAAAAGAACAATAATAAAGAAACACACAGATATTATTAGATATACTGCAAGTTGTAACGAATTAATAATTTATGATCTAAATTTAATATTTATACATCTCTTTTCCGTTTATATTTGAATTTATTTTATATTATACGACATCATAATAATATGTTGGTGTATAATTGTATTACACCTGCCGACTGCAGTATTAGCTTCTAATTAACGAATACTGATTACAATACACAATACACAGTACAGTATTACACCAATACCTCAAAATTTTAATTGTGTCACTAATCTAATAAATAATAACATTCGTTTTATTTTAATAAAGTTATAATTTGTATAAATTTTTAATCTTACAATTTTGTATTATTTATAAATTAAAAATCGAACCTTCCATTAGGTTAGGTTATTATGAAGAAATCATCATTAATACCATTTTAAACGCTTATTTTAATAGGTACCCCGTACCCACTTCTTACATGTTAACGTTAAGCGATGAGATTATATTATCTAGATATGGATTTTACATCAATAATATTGTGTAATGTTACCTAATTTACATTAATTTATCGTAATAAGATACTCTTCTTGGTACCTATTATTACAAGTAAAATAATAAACATGGATATATATCATGTATGAAAAAAACCTGTTACCTGTAAACTGTAGTCTATAAAGGTTTTTGCATAAAAATTCCCGTTTTTCCTTAATTTTTTTTTGTTTTTCCGCCACTTTTGAAAACTACTGGGAATTTTGAAAATCAGGTTGTACACTTTCACGTTATTGTACTATGTTTGGTATAATAATTACATTTTACTTGATATATATGTAGAATAACTGTTGTATTTTAAACGTTTCGAAATATATTCGAGGATGCGAGTCTTAAGGTCAAGGTCGTATAATATTAATATATGTATATTACATTGTATAAAAAAAAACAAATAACACAACAACAACAATATAGACGTGCAATATAGTATTTATAAAAAAAAAATAGTTTTACATATTGCACTATAAGTATAGGTACCTATAGCTAACTACAGTACCTGTGATAGAAACTACTAACTATTTGCCTAAACGTTATATTAACAAAATGTATTGATCTAATTTTCACATTTCGAGCTACTTATATTTTGAATTCACATAACACTTATCTACGTAAAATTTTGAATATTTTATACACCTATCAGCTACCTATTTATAGCGCATGATACTCCTATATTATGCAGATTTCACTCAATGCAATTTTATTCTTTCAGTCTCCCAATAATGGTGTACCTACTGGCTACTACCTATAACATTAGTGGAGAACCATGCCGGTTGGATATCTGGACTTTTTCCGGTGGACCATAATATACAAGTAATAATAGAGGCATTCCTGCGATTATGGCTGTAGAGCAAAATATACCGAATAATATTGACGTTGAAAACAATTATTGACATTGTCAAAAGTAAAAGTGATCAATTATATCTATGTACCTACATATTTTTAATTGTTGTTATTAAATGAAAACTATGATTTTTTTTGTTTGTTTATGCTAACATGTTCTAAATAATTTCTAAATAACCATGTACATATACTATACCCCTTAAAATACAGGATGATTCACCATTCACTATCTAAATTTAAGGACCAGTCAAATATTTTTCCCGAGCCGATCACAGTCGTGTTTTTCTCACAGTCCACCACTGCCCAATATAATATATAATCTATACACAGTTATAATATTTTCCTATATATTATAAGCGATATACTTAGGAATATTTAACACGTTCGATTATGCTTACCATGTCGGTCATGTTCGGTGAGTGTTCGGTATATTATCGTAAGCGATCGTATCACGGCGCTGTCCGCAATCCACGCGTGCTCGATGGCGTCGCGTCACGCTGCAGTCCTCTCGGCAGACATGATGACGCGTTATATGTTTACCTACGTATTATTGAGGTGTATGCAGTTTTATTGATGTTGACCCTCTCGTCGTCGTCTGCTTTAAGCACTCAGATGGCTGCCGTACAGTATACAAGTCTGACCGTTCCTGCTACGACAGTCTTCAGCATAATATTATTATGGCAATATAATATTATATTATATGACAGTGCGATGAATACAGTCCGATTAATACGAACACTTTTCCGAAACGAACTTAAAAAAAACGTCCAAAACGAGTAGGTACTTACGTATATTATGTTATAGCTTGCAATATTGTTTGATAATATATTTTTTAATTTATAAAAGAATATTCGGATGCAATGTAAACTGGTGTAAAGAAACGCGCGCGTGATTCGCGATATATTCGTAACGCTTCCTTAATACGAATACATATTGAGCCTACATTTTAATCGTCGTCGGTGTACAATATAATATTATAGTTATATGTATACTTTCGGTCACCTTTGCACCGACTTCCTCACTCCCTCTCAAACACTCACACACTCTGTCTCTCTCTCACCCGGCAAACGAGATAAACCGGATAATTATTGTAATACCTACTATTATGTTATTATACAGGATGTTCCATAATGAGTGGATTCAAAAAACCATAACTCTGAGGGTTTTTTTCGTGTCCCGATCGATAGGTCGTCAAAGGAAAAGGGAGAGTTTAACTTCCGCCCACAACACATGAATAACTGAGAGAAGGAATCGAAAGTACGTAGGTTTAGTTACACACTTCCACCTTCGCGTTAACCAAGGTTTGGGATGAGTTTCCACTTATAACCCGATAATCGTGTGGGGGGGGGGGGGGACTAATTTGAACATTTGTGAAGCAAAAAAATTTAATAACATTTGACAACTTGCAGTTTTGATTGGTACCTACTTCAATTTTATAAGTGTAAAAGTGTAATACTTTGTTATATCCTTTTGAAACCCGGACCTTCTTTAAGGAACACTCTGTATAATGAATTATATTCTACCGTGAGTATTCTCAGTTACTTGGCAATATAGTATATACGTAACATTAGCGGAATATATATGTATGTATATATTTTCTGTATATAAATATACACTATGTAACCTGCATATAGGCGTGTCTTGACTCTATACATCTATACATGTATATGTACCAATATTCAATATACGCACTTCACACAGAGTGAACTATCAACGTATGACACATAAATACTGTTATACGATACTCAATATAAGTGTCTTACGTTAAATGAATGGATCAGGATCACTCTGTATATATTATAGTATTGGTAATTGGTATTATTTACTATTTAGTAGCATTGGAGAATATTTATTAGCCAGTGGCTAATACTGTATGATTTTTAGAAAGGAAATAATTTTATACCATCGCATCATCAGCATTATCGTTAAATTTGTAATCTTACTAAACATGGTATTTATATTTCCATACGTGTGTTTACTGTTTATTAAAACATTACTGTCATTACTTACATTCAATTATCATATTTTTAATCACAACTCTAGATTAAATATTACCTTTAATTTCTAAATTTCTAACACTTATTTTATTGTATTTACTTTCTTTTTAATAAAATGTTTAGGTACAAAAATACAAAATACATAATAAAAAAAAAAAAATAGGTATTGGTATCATTTTTTTTTATATATATTATACAACTATTCTTTAAACGTTAGATATATTTCTATTATAGAAATGTTTTAATTTTAAATAACAGACGAAAAAAATGATAATTTATCTTCCATTTTTAAATTATTTTATTTTTAAATCTTTACACTTGTTCATTTTTACAAAAGGTAACATAAATATTGTACGTAAATGAAAATAGCATTATTTATTCCTTAACAAAATATCGATAGTGTTTTAAGAATCTAAACATGGTTATTAAATATAGCAGAAAATATAGTAGAAAATATTGGAACCTGAACCGGCAGATAACTGATAATTTGTTCAGTTCTAATTTTATTTAGTCATTTTATGTACTTAAGTAGGTAATAATAATTGATTTATACTGTAAATGTTTATATGGATTTTTTGTTTTGTGTTTTTATAATACCTATATACAATTTCCAGTTCCAGAAAACGAAATATATGATCAGTTACCAAAGTACAATGTACAATGTACATGTAATAGGTATAAACTGTTATTTACCAGTTCGTTAGTCATAACAAATAAGTCATTACACTCGTATAATCGTATTTCTCATAGCTCATAAGTCAACGAAATGATACTTTCCCTGCAGTAATTTTGGACGATGACGTCTTGTCGTCTTGTAACGTGATGACTAATAAAATGATTATTAAAACAGTCATAAATATGTGCTAGTATAAATTGTTATCAGATTATATAATTTAAATATTTAGATATAAAATTCATGCTTACTTGAATTAACATATTATATAATATATAATTTAATCTGTAATATATATTTATACCTAAATATTTCCCGGAACAGAAACCTTTATTCTGCAGTTGTAAAATTCGGTATAGAATATTTTTTCTATAAAGAAGAAAGAACCAAATTGAAACCGAAAAGGTACAAATCATAAAGTTCCAACTTTCCAAGTTCTGCCGGTATTATTTATTATTTGTTAATTAAAATTACTATTACTATATTATCTATTTTATTATGCTATTTATTTAACCTATAATAAAATATATAAATACAAATATTTATTTCATTGTACTTTTATACAAGCCATTAATTACGGGTATCTTATCACGTCTTTGTCCCGGATAAACACCGAAACTACTGGACCGATCTTGATGACATTTTTACAATGTGTGTAATTTGGCCGAACTTAAAAGATAGGATAATTTAAAAAGGGAGAGGACCAACCCCGAGAGGTGTTAAAATGGGAATTTTGAGATTTCAGATAGAATTTTTTGTTCATCAATGGTTGCCATGAGTGACGTCGTATTAAATGATTCGTTTTATTGCCACGAGAACAAACAAACCATTTTTTATATAAATAATATATCGACTATTTGTTATTGTTCATATAAATATATAATACATATTCAACAATCAACCGTACCTATTATTATTATACTTTACTTTTTAAATATAAATTATAATATAATATCCAACTATAAAAAAAAATGTGAAATTAAAATCCTTGTACAGGCTGAACTCTGGAACTTCTTATCAGATCTTCTTGATTTTTTTTTAACGAAAGAGTATTTCACGGAGAAGGTTTATATGAAAGAAAATTTTAGGAAAATCCACTCGTGTATAATATATTGGTTGCTATTAGTTAATCGGGCATGTTTGTTGATTTGTATTATTATCTTTTGTCAATATACATATAATATAATATATACAAGAAGATCTGATAAGTAGTTCCAGAGTTTAGTCTATTTAGTTATAGACTATAGTCTATATATTTATGTATATATAAATTAATGTTTGTGGGTAGATTAGACCTCTGTGAAGAAGATAGGTTAATTTACAAAGGGTTACATTTTTTTTTTTTATTCATCGGATTTTAGTACGGTTAGGTTGGGTTAGAATTTTGTATTAATTAATTATATTAATCCACGGTAGGTGGAATTAAGTAAAAACGACAAACTTGGAATAATTTTGATACATTATAGAGTTAAAGCATACATTTACGTAAAACAGCACGGGGTCCGCGATCTACCGCAGATAGATTGCCTACCTGATAATATTATACTGCTGTGTATCAGAATTTTTATTCCAGGCAACAGAAAAGTTAAGATAAATTTTGAACAACATACACCAAAATACCAAATATTAAATAGGTAACGAATTGAACAACGTTTGAGTCATATATAGTTGGTACATTTAACGGGCAACGAAGTGCACGGGATCAGCTAATATAACTATAAACTATAGTTTGTCTCATTTTAATATAATTATGATAGGCAATCAGCTGAGACCAATGCACCACTCTTACTATCAAACGTTAATGTATTATTATTTGACCATTAAACAACCGTATATTAACCCACCCACCGCTTACTCTGCAGCATTGTTTAAAATCAACTGTGGTTTATAGTTTATACAATTGTACGGTAGTCAAAGATAAACAGTTACAAGAGATGTCGTATGCCTATAGTAGCTTTTTATAAATTATAAATAAAGATATAATTAAGCAGTACAAATATTGTTATTAAAAATAAAAACTATATTTTCTAATTTTACGATTACTTCGCTTAGGTTACCTAGTTATGCTTATAAATAGTTAGTTATAGGTAGTACGACGTACTATAACCACATTTTCATTCAATCGTCATACGTACTAATATGCCATATAAACTTAAGTATATACATGTTTATATCGTTGTTTGATAAAATCTAAGTTTTAACCAGCCTACCATATACAGGTAAATGAACCCACAATAGTGATGTATCTAAATAGCATATCTAAAACGCCGTGTGATTATAATTTTATCTATTATTTAAATGCATAGAAATAAGTAATAAAGAATAATCATTCATTTCTTATGATAACTAGATAATCGATGACAAAATATGTAATATTTATTCTCAACTACGTATATAGTTGTAATATTATATGGTTGAAGAAATTATTTATTATTTTCTTGGAAAACTTATAACGTGCACGTAATATGCAAAAAAAAATTTCTGAAAATTAAAAATGTGCACTCTTTTTTTATGAAATCAACGAAATATTATGTAAAAATATGCATCATGAAATTACGGTATTATACTCGTCATTGTACGAAACAAGCTCGTTAGTGTTATACGGTACTATATAATATATGATAATTATTTACTTTCAAACCTTTGTAGGTAATGAAATATATACAAAGACATGGTCTAAAAATGCATGAATTATTAGCTATAGTAAGTACGGATCTACGTATGTGTAGAAAACAAATTAGTTTAATTTAAACTATACTAGTATATAGAAATTTGCTACAAGAGCGTAACATTTTTTTTACCACCTATATAATTGTATTTTAAGAACAGATATTAGTATATTACTATATTATTATATTACTAATGTACACCGTTTGAATATAAACGTATTATAAAACTATATGATATGTAAATACATCAAATGGCCATGGTGGATATCCTTGCGCGTGCTATATATGTATTATGTTGCATCTTCCTTTTCAGGTGGTTTCTTTTCAGACGTCAGTACAGCTGTGTAATTATATATTTTACCAATTATTTTGGATTAATGACGTCCCACGGTTCTAACTTACAAAACTAACAACACGTGTGTACCTACAAATATTTTTTTTCTGTGTAGGTACAAAATGTATACCGATATGCGTATCTACGATATTTTTCTCTTTAAAGTAGTTTTTTTGTATTTAACGAATAATAATGATCTAAACTAAATCGAACTATATCGAAGTATAATATTAAAATTATAGATTTCAGTGTACATAATATATACACTAGGAGAATCCTATATTATAGAATCACGTTCGAATTACGCTATGTACATTACAACGTTGATGCATACCATGCTCTAGATAGCCCCTTCCATCCGCGATGGCTAATATGCCTGCGTACACTGATAACTGTACGTCTATATAAACATATATTATTATTCTTGTTATTTTCATTTGTTATACAACGTTTTTCATTCCCTCCTTTTCTTGTAATACCTTGTCATATCCTCTGTATTATAGTCATTGACGAAACACATTATTATTGCCTATATACTCCCACCAGTGTAATGCGTATAAAATGTATGTAATAACAGCACAACCGACACACAGTCGCTATGCAATTGATTCGCAACAGTGACGGAAGCAGTGGATCTTGTAGTACTGCGTTGATAAATGTGTGTCACAATACGGTTGATCGTTTAACTCGGCAGTCGGCTGTACACGAAGGACAAACAAAATACGCTGCTATTGGGCCGTTGTTTTAACGTCGGATTAATGCCTATGGGCTACCGGCTTTATTTAATAAACGTGAGTACCTGCACCTACTATATGTATTATGAATGACGTATAATAATATCTTCAGCTAATGGCCATAGTTGCCGAGCTTAAAAAGGTTCAATGAAAAAAAAAAATAACAATAATATCTTTATATACAGTACATTTTGGTAGGTAGTTATTGTAAGCAGACTTATAGGCGCGTGAGGTAGGAATGTAGGATATAATATATACATTTACATACCGCTATACGCCTGCATTCTATATGTATATAGAAATATCAATATCACTCATATATTTATTTAGCCTATTTTATATATAAACTCGAATATAAGTGTATAGGTAGTATGAATTTTAACTCGTACCCATATGGTACCAGGTACCAAAATATTTTTGATCAAATTAGAGCCATTCCCTTCAAACGACCCCTTTTAACAAGAATATTATAGCATCAATGATAATATAGTGCTCGTTTTCATATTGTTCACTTCAACATCGTTTGTGCTTAAAAATAAATAAATAGAACTGCTAATGATAAAAAAAAAAATGATTTTTGATTTAAGCTATAACATTTATATGCCTCACTTAAAAAGGTGAGTCACATCAATCATATTGTTAAAAAACCATAGAAATAAAACCAATGACTTATCGTTGGTATTTTAGACCGAATTTTCTTTTAACTATCATTAATAATAATAATAAAACAAAAGTTTAGGTTTATTTATACTTGCTCACTATTTTATTTTTATTCACATTTGGCGTAATACAAAAATAACTTTTTTACCATTTTATACTTTAGTAAGCACGTGATTCATAAATTAGTCTATTGTACCTACATTCTATACTTATTTTTTCAGAGGTGACATCAGTTTCAAATACATATTAACCATAATGACTAATCAAGGTAAGTTACTTTGTTCTGACATTATAATTTATAGGTACATCGTACATACTACATATACCATTATTGTAATACTTTTACTCAATATCACGTCAAATATATTATATATTTAATGTATTTATATTTTATATAGAAAAAGAGAATCAACTTAGAAACATAGAATCAAACATAAACACATAACATATATTTTTTTTTTTAATGAACAAAAATTTTATTTACAATCTATAATTATGTAAATTACAATAAGTAAATGTGATGGTGATGATTATAACGGAAGGGGGGAGGGGGAAGTCACCCAATGGTGGCACCCCGCATAATATATTTATAATGTATTTAGGTAGGTATTAATTGTTGTATTAAATACCTAAAATTTAGTAAAATATAATCTCTAAAACGGTGACTACTTTTTATAAAATATTTTTGGCTTGCCTAGTACATTTTGCATAGTTAGGTATGTACCTATCTAAGATGTACCTATGATAAAATCATATACATTTTATGGTATTTCAACCATAATATAGGTACAGACGTACAGTTTTAGAATTCCATTTCTTATCATTTAGTATTTTGTATTTTTGTATGTACCTACATAGGTAGCTGCAAAATAAGATTTCTTTCAAATTTCAAATTTTCAAATTAAAATTATTCTTTCTACTTTTATATTATTATGTTATTGGGTATTTAAAAACTGAATTTAAATTGAAAATAATTGTTAATTATAACTAAACTATTAACCTAATAATTACAACTTAATAGCTAGAATGAGGAAGCATGCTGTAGTAAAAGTGAAAAGACGCAGAAGTGCATTTTAGAGTGTAAATGAATACCTACCTACATTTCTATAATCCCACATTTAATAGTAATTATTGGTTAGTTAATTAATTGTTTATTTGATATATTTTGACATACAACATAAGTATACATTTTAAGAACAATTTTATTTTTTCTATTACCTACAAACTATACAAATATACAGAAAAATTAAATTCAAAATTGTATTAATACCTATTAATGTTTTTATTTTTTTTATCTAATTACATAGGTATATGTATAATATACATTCATATACCTACAAATATAAATACCTATTCAATTGTTTTTTAAATACAATTTTTGGTTGTCACATTCCAACAGTGACGAGATATTAGATACCTATAAAATGGACTTTTGATGGAAATAAATCATTTCAAACATTTTTATTTTTTTTTATCATTACTTTAAATGTTATATAATCTGTAAATATAATATTTACAATAAGCATACGTGCAGTTATAATGTTATATACTTACTGATAAGACTTGATAAATATAATAACAGTCATGGTGGTTGTCAATTGGTGACACTTTTTTAATTTAAAATATTTTAATATAGGTCATTATTATTTGCTTATTACGTAGGTAACGACGATTATCAGCTATAGGAATTGTATGTTTTACAATCGTATTGTTTTACTTTTATAAAAAAAGAAAATTATAACAATGTCTATCCAAAAATATAATATTATTGATATAGGTACCTACTATATCTACCTTTTTTTTTTTCTGTTTGAACCGACGGGGACTGCTTTCGCCTTCTAACCTATATAAAATACAATATATAATCTTTCGAATTTGAAATTTGTTTGGCTATTATTTTAAATATTATAAAAAATAATCATAATATATAACAAATTTAACTAAATTCAAAACTGTTTCACAATTATTATCACAAAGTTTTTTTTTTAATTTTCCCAAAACCTACAAAAATGACTTTTTTTAAATCATCTACTAAGCCGTCTAAACCAAAACCATTTATATAAGTAGGTAGGTAAATACTCTTACACGAACACCACTCAAAACATTTCATAATATACCGAACAACTATTATTATTTTGTAAATGTGAATTACTTTTTTCTTCTTTTTTTTTTTAAAGTAGATCGAGTGGTTTTAATAACAAAGTCTAAGACTCCCACGTCAACTGTACTCGTAGTCGAACGCCAAGCCGACAACAACAATGAGCACAATGAAAAAAACGAATATCTGGCTGGCGGAGAACACAGTGGCATCGTGATCAGCAAAATTGGGAAATACGGTAAAATAATATATACATATATGTGCCGAGAATAAAAAAAAAATATATATAAAACCATAGTTCGTCACAATAGATGTTCAAGACGAAACACCTGAAGACACATCGGTGCAGTTCTGCGTGTTTCTGGTTAATGGTCAAACGGGATTACACACCAAAGAAAGACGTACCATAAGATTTTGGTGTAATGGAGATAGAACGGTGGACGCCTCAGCAGTGGCGTCTCAATTCTTTCAAGACTTGGTGTTACCAGATCAATTTCCTCTTGGTATTTATCATATTTTTATTATTACAAATAATCCTCGCGAATCGCTCTAAATGATTGCACTTAGCCAACTTACAAATTGTATTTTTATTTATTTATTTTTTTGTAGATTATGTTGGTTTCGTAAAAAGATTACTGACTTTAATGCACAAAGGCTACAAATGTGTATCAAAACTCGAAATCGAATTAAAGGAGCTGGAAAGAACGGCAGTAAGACCTGTAAATCAAGGTACAATGTTCAACACATAATAATCATTCGTTGATTTGTTCCTAAAAAGTCATCCTATAAAATATGTTATTATAGTTTCTGTCGAAGGCTCGAAATTAAATTTGGATATATCACAGACTAAATTACGTGAATTGATCGAATCTTCATATCCTAACCCACTAACTATTGACGATATTAACAAGTAAAACTTAATTTTTTACTTATTAGATTTTTATCGTTCGACTATAGATTCTGTAATTCTTATTTTTGTCAAGAAAACACGGATGGAAGAACTCAGACATAAAGGACAATTTAGAGAAACTTCAACAGTCTGGAATCGTTAAGCCTGTCGACGGAGGCTACACCAGAGTCGTCCTCCACGACAAGGTAAAAAAAACTCCTTTTTTCCTGTTTTTTTATCTATTATTTTCCAATGATCTATAATAAACTGTTACTCATTGTTTAAGATTGTAGAACAAATGCCTGTCATTCAATATAATCGGCAACCAACTGTTGCCATTATCACAGCGGAGTATTGCGAAAAAGTAGCCGTTGATATTTTAATCGAGAACAAAGAAACATTTGTACGATACACCACTGTCGGTAAAAACACAAAACTTACAATTTTCTATTTTAAACTATTTATTTATTATCATGTCACTATAGAAATTACTGAACCACGACTAATGAAAGTTTAGGTAGGTACTACTGAAGGTAAAACCAAGGTTTAACAATAAATAAATTATCAGTATGAATGCGTGTTAATTTCCAGTGTTTTATAAATACAAGGTTAAACTGTCTACATATCAGTACCTATATACCACAACTCACAAGCCTCGCCCACAAGTTTTCAGAAAAGTAAAAATAATGAATAGGTATCTACTTATAATTAATAAACGGTATCTATTTAAAAAAATGTATAATGTGTACCTATTAATAACTAAAACTGTATAGGTACCTACTTACTGTCTATAGAGTTATTTTGTCGAATAGGTACAAAACAGTATTATTCTCTATAAAGCTATAGATTAAAATGTATTATTATTTATTGACGTTTAGCACGTGCAAAGTATAGATATCTCGTACCTAGTGTTGTATAGGTGGTATACAGCTCACAAGCCTCACCCACGAGTTTCCAGAAAAGTAAAAATAATGAATAGGTATCTACTTATAATTAATAGGTACCTATTTAAAAAAATATATTATGTGTATTAATAATTAAAATTAAAAACTAAAATTGTATAGGTACTTACTGTCTATAGATTTATTTTGTCGAATAGGTACCAAACAGTATTATTCTCTATAAGACTATAGATTAAAATGTACCTATTATTATTTATTGACATTTAGCACGTGCGAAGTATAAATATCTCATACCTAGTATATATAGTTACCTTTAATACAATCTCTATGGTAATTGGTAACAAAGTAATACAGATACTTTATATTATATGAAATAAATTAAATTTAAATCTGAATGATAAATTCTCATCTTTTCAAAGTTCTCTGAACATAATATAATGATAGCCAACTCATTGGTACCTACCTACTAAATTGTGCATACATATTCTTTGAGATTTTGTAAATGTTTATAGCTTCGTTTTTCAACCCCTGTAGGTTGCTATAGCTGGAACGTGAATATTTCGTGTTCGCTAAAAAAAATTGAAAATGTTTAGTTTATATTACCTATATATAGAGTTCTGAGTCGTCATTAATTACAAAAAAAAACAAATAATCCGTATGATTGTTGGCTCACAAACTTCTAGACTGATTTTAACGAACATTTCGGAGATTGTTCTTAGAAATATCAGGAAATAGTTTATTAGCTTAAAGACTACTGGACTAGAAATAAGCTTTGACCAAGTTTGAAAAATAATGCACCAATTACTAGATATAGGTAATATCCAAACCCAAACCTTGATGGGCAGTTGCCCATCTCGTTCGAATTTGTTCCCAAAGCGAAGTACATCGATTTGCATGTAAACTTTATGTAGGTACACTAAAACTCAAATACACTTATACACCAATGTAGCTCCAAATTTTATATTCGTTAATTTTGAAGAAATATAGCTTATTCGTGAACTAATCTGGCATTCTGGCTATAGCTTACATAGCTAGTAGGTATACACTATATTGTGGCCCAACGAGTTAGGCACCGAGTTGGACTTTGAGTGAAATTTGAGCCGAAAACAAAATATGACCGACAACACCCAAATTTGAGCTCCCGAACTCTGAACAATGAAATATGAATAATAATAAATAATAATAATCATGTCTTATTGAAAAATGCAGGGCTGTTAACTTTTTTAGAGCCGGTCAAAATCCTAAAACTCGGTCGGCCGAGTTACCTTGCCTGACCGGCGCTGATTTTATAATAATCTAAACGTTTTTGTTTTTCAGGAGAATCAAATGTTTACACAATAGGAAAAATGGGAAATCACAGTGTAGTTTGTACCAAACTCCCCGCATTGGGTCTAAGCAGAGAAGCTAAAACGGCAGCCGGAAATGCAATAACTCGCTTATTAGGTTACCAAATTATTTTATTATTATTTCCACATCCGCCCCTAAAAACTTTGATCCCGCTAAACGTACCTATCTAAATATTTTATAGGAACATTTCAAAAAGTCGAACACGTCTTTGTATGTGGTGCTGGTGGTGGTGTACCACATTATACAAGCTATGACAAGCATGTAAGACTAGGAGACGTAGTCGTTTCTCATTGTGGAAACAACCAAAAGTAAAATAATATTACAATATTGCGATGCACACAAAAAACGACCTAACGATTTCATTTATATTTCATTAGAGCCGTTTATACGTACTGCAAAAATGTCTCGAATGAAAACGGAGACATGAAATTCCATTGTCATCAATATAGTCCGAAAATATTTGATTTACAAATAGCTGCTATGAAATTACAAACGGAAGTAAGAAAGATTTGATTATTTGAATAGAGTACGGTTTGACATGTGCGAACAAATATTCAACAGGTGAAATCGATTGACAAAAAACCATTGTGGGATATATATCTAAGCGAAGGTTTGAATAGGATTGAAAAACAAAAAACCGATAGTGAATCCGATTTTAACCGGCCGCCAGCAGATTCGGATAAACTTCAAATGTACATCGGAGGAACAGAACTAATTGAAATTACTCATCCCGTTTGCAATGACAAGGATAATAATTTGTAAGCTCGATAATAATATTATTAATTTCAAATATTTTCTAATAATAAAATTACTATCCGATATTTATCATTTTAGAGGCACAAGAATACACGTAGGTCCCATTGGTGGTGGTCTGAGTGCTGGATCCAATGCATTTATAAGACAAAAATTTGCTGCCGAGTACAAATTACTGGCTATGGATTCAGAATTTGACTCTGTTATGGGATCACTAATGGGAAACTATTGTCATTCTTATGCTATTGTCAGAGGAATTTCTGACTATAAAGATGGATCGGTAAAAAACAAGTGGCAACCTTACGCCTCTTTGGCCGCAGCATCTGTTATTAAAGCAATATTATCGATAACCAATGTATAAGCTAAATAAAATTGGTTATATTCTCAAATAATCATAAATAAGCTTATTTTTGAAGACTTTCTATTTAAAAAAAAAATTTGTTTTATAATATGGGTTTGTTGTTCTAAGTAAAATATAATTGTGATTTAGATAATTCAAACTATTTTTACAAATCTGAATACATTAAGAAAGTCAGTTATTCATATAATTAGTATAAAATATTATTTACTATTATTTTATTTTTATATAGTTAAAATTGTATGCAAAAACTTTATGACTTATAATTTATTCACATAGCAGTGCATCATGATTTTGAAATATTTATTATAAACATTAGTTAAATTACATGTTTTCTTTTATTAAATATTTAGTATTAAACACTTTGTTCCTATATGTATATTTAAAAGTATTTAACTATTTATAACACTGTAACATCAAATCTAACTTTATATTTTCATCTTTTATTTGAATAAAATTTATTACATAAAAATATATTAAATATATTATATAATAAATATTAGAATAAGACGTGGTACAGCAATGAAAAAATTGTATGATTTAAAATTTAAGTTATGAATTTTGATTTAGCAATACATCTTTATTCATTAAAATGAAATTTTAAAAAATCAACATTTACACACTGAATATTTTTGACTTTTATTTATAACTGAATTTATTGATTAATAATTATAAATACTATAGACTATAGAGTATAGATTGCTCACTGGCCGATTTTTCAGTGGCACAAAATATTTACTGCTGGCATATGGCAAGTTTAAAAACCGTTCAGTGAGCAATCTATAGTATTTACAGGGGTACGAAACTCCGTGCGTTGGCCGAACCAGGCGATTGCGGCCTTGAACACGGTCTTCAGGAGGGCGTGACATACGTGAAAACCCCGCAACCCGTATCCTGCCTTAGTCTTGGAACCAATTTATAATATGCGGGTCTAACATCATGTTGGTGCAGGAACCAATTCCATGTTTTTCGTAGGTTCAGACTTCAGATCATAGGGAACCAATACCCCAATCAGCTGATCGAGTTTCGCTTCTATACTGTTCTATGGTATTTATAATCAAATCAATGCTGTAGTGAATATTTCAGAATTTTTGTAAATTTTAGAATTGTAATACTTGTAAAAAATGTTGATCATGAATATTTATATGTTGAGTATATTTCAATAAAAAAAAATAGTTTATTTTGAAAGATATATCATTTATGTCTATACTGCAGTGCTAACAAGACAATATCCAAAAAATTGTATGATAATATGACCAAGTGGTGGTGAATATATTTAAATTTACAACATTGAAATGATCAATTTTTTCAAAATATTAAAACAAATAGATATATCCCAATTGTTACGAAATCTAATAATTTATTTATGTATTTAAATCTTTCATGCATAATTTTAAATACAAGCTACATTTATTTTAGTCCCATTTTTTTGAAATATCAATATATTCTCCATCAGGACTTTGGTAGTTTTCAATTGGAGGAGTTTCTACTGGTCCAGTTAGTTGGCATGTCAATAAGGATTCGTCAATGTCAACAGCAGCTAGATACAAATCTTCAGAAACTTCACGTAACTCATTCAATGCACGTTGCTGTGAATACTCTAGGTCGTTGATAACTTGAAGATTGAAAAAGTGTTCATCATGCTTATACATTGACCATGCCTTTGCTGCAACTATTCGTTCCTCGAGCTTATCATTACTATGCACTACAATTGGTCTCTGACGACTGTCAAGTTCATTGGATAATGAAGCCATTAATTGTACCTCATCAATAGGTTTTAATGTTTTGGATACCTTAAAAAAATAGGATGCAATTTAATGTTAATATTTAAAAGTCGTAGAACAATATGTACAATTTGTATAGGTCCAATTTGGTTTCAGTCAATAAACATAAACTTATAAAGTTATACATATTATTTTGATGTATAGCTAAAGAATACAAACAAAAAGCACATATTGGGTTTTCGGTTATACCATTTTGTACTTTGCTCAACTAATTAAGTTCAAAAATTATAATAATTATGTACAAAATATGATTAAGTAGGTTCTAAGAGGTTTGATGTTAAAATAAATTGTATTCCTATAGAATAAACTAATGACAAACAAAATAAGTATTATATATATTTCATATAAAAAGTATGTACCTACATTAAATATTTTAACACGAGGAAAACAGGTTATCCAACATGTATTCATAATATATCAGGCTAAAATATACTTTAATAAACCTAATAGTTATTACAAAGCATAATTAATATAGTGGTATTTAAAAGGCTCAATGTACAGAGATATGTAAATTGTATAACATAAATGGCAACACATATTTTGTATGCAACTGCCATTGTTCAACATTTAAAACATGCAATATGTTTCAAAAAAGATGTAGATTCAGTCTAACAAAAATGTTCTTTTAAACTATACTTTGGAATGTCTTAGCATAGTTTATAGGTACTAGTGTACTATCTAGACAAAACATTTACTCACCTTCTCCAATTTTCTAATGGATTTTTCTATCTTTTTACGTTTCCTATCTTCTCTGGCTTTTAATATCTGTGGATCCAAACGTTTCTTTTTTTTCAATGGCTCAGCAAACATAGGTACAGATGAACGGAAGAGTAATGGTCCTCCACATGTTGATATACTCCTTGATGCGACCAATACACTCGGTTGCATGGTGACTGATGAAAACAATTTAAACATCGCAATGGCTATTTTACTTTTGACTTGAAAGACAAAGCCAATTAAGTAGAATTATACTAATTAATAATTAAATACTTTTATTATGTGCACGAATTAAAATACTTTCTAATAACTTCATTCATGATGCACAAAACCCTAAAAGTCCGTGGACGAAGTACAAAACTACGATATTATCAGTGTTAATTTATCACAGATTAAATGAAAACAATTTCATGTGATATTATCAAAATTGTTTTATACCACCACAGAACCACGATTAAGGACTCAAATGTATGGAGTGATAAGCACTTGTCTGAAAATGATAAGAATGTTTTGTAAGGTTAGTTATTAGCACGATTCAAAATAATATACCTTAAATATATCTTAAATCGTGGTTACTAGTGAATGTTCATTGGATTTTCTTGTATTTTCGTTTCGCCTTCTAGAAAGAATTTCCTCGGACGTGAAAATAGCCACTACGAACAATGAAAACAAAGAAAAGAGGAGGAAGAAGATTGAAAAGAGATTGGCGAACGAAAATTGACGTAACTGATGTTGACACGTATCTAGAGGGGAAAAGACTCCAGGAACGAATAGGGTATGTAAGAGCCAAGGGCGTACAACCTTAGACCTATATATTTTATTATACAAATTATATAATACAAATTCTTCATAAATTATAATTATTTATTTTATTTTTCTCATAGAGATCCATTCAGTGAAAAAAAAGATGAAGAACTGTTTCACATTGATACAAGTGGAAAGAAACAAAAGACTAAGAAAAAATCCATAAATGCACCTTTGAAATGCCTATCGATCTTACAATCAACATCTGCTATTCCACCACTTGCTAAAAGGTAAACTTGAAATGACTACAAATATAGCTTCTAGGTTGATTATTACGTCTCAAACTGTTTTAAAAAAATGTCTTCGTATTGAAATTAATTTAAATATGTAGCTTAATTAGTTTTATTAAATACGTGATTTAGTTGTATTTAAGTACACTCTACAGTTCTTCACTTAATGAAGAAATTGTAAATTAGAAATGTACCTATGCTAAAATCAATTTTAATTAAACCTGGACATGAAACCGCTTATGAAAAATTGGGCTATAGGTTTGGAAGCGGTTTTAATTCTTCAAGATTACCAGTAACCACTTGGGAAACGTTTTTTTTTATAACATTTTAGTTTTAACTTTAATTTACACAAGACAAATATCCACTTTATAAAACTGTTCAGGGTAAGCTAAATTAAGTAATAAATACCTATTAAAAATATTTATTGAGGCTATGGATAAATATAAATTTAAATTTAAATTTAATTAGGTACCCATAAGTTATGGTTGGTCCATAACCATTGATTGAAAATAGCTCATGGAAAAGTGTTCACCAACTTCAATTACAATATAATATAATAATTAATAATAATTATTAACCATTAATTAGTTATGTTGTCAAAATATGGCTTGATAAATAGTAAATACTAAAATTGCAAAATTAATACAAATATCTTGTTTTGATTTGTAAAACTTTTAATTAACCAATGTTAAATAGATCCAAGCAACTAGTATACTATCTTTAATCGTATTTAATGTCTTTTAAATAAAATTATTAATCAAAAATATAGAAAACTATTTCGAAAAAGCAAAAAAAAAATAAAACTATTACCTAAATAACATTAATTTTTTTGATATTTCCGGTTTTGTTAAATAAACGGGTAGTGAAAAAATAAGGTTACCACTACATGTTACCCCTTAATTCAATTTTTCAGTTACCAATAATCGCTTCTCAAAATCAAAACTTACAAACCGGGAAACGGTTACCAGACCCAAACTTTGTCATGGTAACTGGTTACCGGTTTTAAGTCCTGAATTAGACATTTTTTTAGGTATACATATAGTTTGCATTATCTTATTTTTAATTGGAAGAACAATTTTTATTAGTTACTTAAATGTAAGAATGAAAATATTTAAGTTAAAATTGTTTTATGTTTAATTTTTAGAAGTGTAAAAAAATACAAAAAGAATAATAAAAAGGAAGATGATTTTGATAAAAACATTAAACCTCTCAAGAAAGGAGGTATAGTTAAGAAAAAAGAGGTGAAGGAATTAAATAAAATTCTAAAGGCCAAAGTTAAAACATTGGAACTTAAAGAAAATTCAACTAAAGATCTCTTTGACAAGGATTTATGGACAGGTTATAGAGGTATGTATATTATATAATACAAACTTCAATCTTTTACCTTGATAAAATAAATACTTAAAATGTAAAGCATTATTTATTAATTGGTTATTTTGTACTTTTGTTTTTTAAATAGAACCAGGACAAAGAAAAGATAAACTCATAAAAAATGTTATTAAATGGTTGCCAAGTGAAGTATTAAATCATAATGCTAAAATCCTTCCGAAATTAAGTAATAAAAAAATGTCGCATCCGAGCCAAACCACATGCGAAGCTGACGATATGAAATGTCCACACCCGGGTCTTTCATACAATCCCACAATCGAAGATCATGTTTCATTATTGGCTAATATTGCTGAAAAAGAAACAGAGTTGATAAAGCATGAAGCTCATATGAATAGAGTTACACGAAACTTATTCCAACAAGTTTCTAAAGAAAAAAATGAAGTAAATATAATAAATGAAATTAGTGCTATAATATTTGGTACTCGTCAAATATGATACCTATCGCTACTTCGTTGTGTGGAGTATGCTACCTACCGTATAAGTTATACGGTATAACTATACCTACCGAATAACGTTTACTGATTATTGATTAATAACAAATTGACAGCAATATTAATAACAGTTTATTACTAAATAATTTATTAATTTATTGTTGTCAAGTACTTTATAATATTTCTATATGTCATTATATATTATTATACATTGTGGGGGACGAGGTGGTCGAGCGGTCTCACGCGTCGGCTGCGGCTCAGCCGATCCGGGTTCGATTCTTGGTCACCGGGCGGCATTTTTCTTCGGGCAAGTTACGGTGTCCAGAGAATAAGTGCCGCCATCCCCCACTTCGGGGCATGACAGAAACCTACGGGTGCCCCAATAGAAATTCTGCCAAACACTCCTAATGCATACGAGACACGTAAAAAAAAAAAAAATTATACATTGTATATTATTTTTATATCATCGGTCATCCCAGAAAACTTCTAATAAGTTGTGTTGCGTATTAATGGACTGCCACCATTCTTCTTTTAATTGTTGGTCTAACAAACCTGTTGCTCCTCGGGTTTTAATTCCGGATTTAGTTTTGACATGTCTATATACACTCGATCGTTTGTGCGCGTGTTGTAGGATCAACAAAAAACTCGGAATGATTGACGGTTTCATGATGGTAGTCTATGTCTTTTAAGGTACTGTATGCTCGCCATTGATCTGAATAAATAATTGATCCTAGTTCTATTTCATTTTGTATTATTCGTAATAAAGTTGCCTTATCTCTTTTTTCCACCTTAAAAAATCTTCTCTCTAGAACCCCATCAACATTTTTATAACACATACCAAAAATCCATGGACCTTGAATGAGAGTACTGTAATATTTTTGAGTTGAATAATCATCATCAATATCGCCAGCGTCACATAAAAATTAAAACTCGCAACGAATAGGATACATACCCGAACACAACACAAACACAATATAGACTATAAAATAATATATCTGAAAGTAAGTTATCATGGGACTTTGTGGATTAGTAAAATTATCATAATGGCTATTGTAAGCTATAATTTTGTACAACTGTTATAATATGTTATTTATCGTAATGACTTAAATGTACTTTTCCGCAATAAAATGAAATTAAATAAAAATAACTACGGTAGGTAGCATACTACACGCATGCAGTTTTTTGGTAGGTACCATAAAATGGTAGGTAGCATATTAGACGAGTACCTAATATTTATAGTATGATGGTACTAAATTGTTGAATTTTTAGCAAATGATAATTGATGAATTAACTGAAGGTCTGCCTGGCTTTACGGATGATACAGTAAAAGAAGTAAACGAAGACACTTCTGAGTTTAAAGCTATTAACCCACCCACTACAAGAGATAATCAAAAAACCATTAAAAAACGTAAGATCCAGAGACGATTGCGTAATGAAGAAAGACAACGTATGAATGCTAAACTTGAAAAGAAGAAAATTTCAGATCTTTATAGGTATGTTCTTCAAATACATACATACATTTATTCATGGAAAATAATTAAATTGTTGAATAATATTTACTTACTACATTGACTATTTTTATTTTTAGATTACGTTATATTAGAGAAGAATTGGATGAATTGGAAAATGAAACTAATAAAAAGAAACTTAAGAGATTACAAAAAAGACAATTAAATAACATTAGCACCAGGCGTCTAGGAACCAACAAGTTTACTGAGTCATTAGATGCTTTTGCATTACCAAAAGATTTAAAAGGTACGCTAAGAGAAACTGAACCACAAGGAAATATATTCAAAGATTGTTTTGAAAGTTTACAAAAGCGGAATATATTGTCTGTTGGGAAAAAACAACTTAAGTAAGTTAACTAACAAATTTAGTATTTTAATATTTATAATTATGTAGAGTTGCATAAATTATTGATTGATTGATTTAATGCTTCACTAAAATTTAATGGACCAATCATTGACTAAATCATATTTGGCTCACTATTGATTCATTAAATGTTAGTGGCATTAGAAATTTACCTTTTGTTTATACTTGATACTATTCTTTTTTTTTTAGGATTCATAAGAAAAAAGTACAGGCATTTATGCAACCTGCTTTTAAAGTAACACCGGACATGTTAGCAAAGTATAGTGTATAATTTGATGATCGATTATTGCTGAAGAAATAATAACATTTTTGGTTACATAATTCATTATTATATTGAAAGTATTAAAACCTTACTTTCATCAGTTTTATATTAAAATAATATTTTGATTATAACTACTAATAAAGGTTTTTAAAATATTATTGACTTTTATTTTAAGTACAGTAATTGCTTTTTTATTCCAAACAACTTAGGCCGAAAATTGTTTTCTTTGGATTATGCAATGTTTATTTAATCCTAAAAATTTCATCCGGATTAAACGGGTACTACTGTACTTCTGTATGATATATATTATACATGTGTATGTTTTATCTAACCTTTTAAGTTAAAATATATGAATTTAAACTATTGATGATACAAAATTATGCAAAAGATTGGAAAAATAGTATACATTGTAATATTTGTAGTTTTTGCAATTTGTTTGAGCTATATGCATGCGTTTATTAACTAATTATTATTCAATTTTGGACTAAGAATATGCAAAATATAAAGATGTTAAAAAAATATTTATGTTTATTAAACCGAAACGAGTCTAAAAATGTATTAAATTAAATATAATAATTAACTAAAATAATTGAGCTGTACTTAAACTTATAAACCTTGGTTCATTGCATTGCCGGTTGTATTTTGTGTAGTATTGAATAACCTACCTTTGTTCTCAAATTTAAAATGCCTCAAAACTACCGAATATTTTTTTTATGTATTGAGGCAACTGATTTCATACCATAAATGAGCTTCCCAAAAAATTACTCTAAACCAGATCTACATGGCAATAATTTTAAACAGTACAACTCAGTGGTATAGCGAATCATGTTTTTCAGAAGCAATTGCTTCTGTTTTCTGGGGGGTGGCGGTAGTTCATAACCCCATAAAGCCCACATACATGGTCAGTCTTTGAACTTTATTTTGGGTGTTACCCCCCCCCCTATTTGATTATATGAGTATCGTATACATCAGTTGGAGTAGGGTGGGGTAGGTCATAAATAATTTGTTCGCTTCCATATGATTTAAAGTTCGCTAAGCCACTTTTACAACTAAAACACAAAGTACATGATCCAATTTGCTAAAAGATAAGGTACTATATGTTGAAATAGAAGATCTCTTTCTGGTAGAAATTTTGTATACATGATATAAAAAGAAATAAACACCATTGTAAAACTATTAGCTTCCTCGCTCCGCTCAGAATGTAAAAAAGTAACTTCTAACTAAGTATTCTGTAAATTTCAGAATCTATTAAACTAACTTTTATTCTAACTTAGTTACTTTTTACATAACATTTTTCTGTGGTTAAACTGCCAACTGTAGTGAATCGTTTGCGTACAGAGTTCAGTTGTATCAAGTCAACTGTGCAAGTACATCATACATAAATCAGATGCGATTCATTTAGATTTTTAAAATAAATATTCATAACTCTCAAATATAAGTATATAACTGTAGTGATAAAATTACAAATCTATACAATCTAATATGTGTACATTATAACGTTAAGGACGTATTCATGATAAATTTAATTTTACATGTGTAGTATGAATGTATGATATGTCGTCAATTCATGAATATCGCTATACTCTGCCCCACGATAGATCATGCTGGTTCTGCGCATCCCCCTAAGTCACCCCGCTGTTGAAACTATGACTAAATTATAGGGGAACCAGTTTTGGTCGGTGTGCGGCATGATCTCTCGTCGAACAGAGTAAATGACAAATTATTTTATACGGCAATATCTGTGTTTATAGAAAGATAAAAGAACATGATGTAATATAAAACAAATATTTCTGTTCAAAAGAATATTAAATTTTTCATTGTATATAAATCACATTCATTATAACTTCAATATCTATTGAAATTTTACTATATTGTTTCCATCCAACAGTTGTACTTTGTAAATACATTCTAGTATGAGACTAAAATAATTTATCGCGAGAGTGGTTTATCAAACATTAATTGCTGATTACAAAATATAATAATTACTTTTAATAAACTAACAAAGAGTAATATAACGGTTGAAATTCATTCAGATTTTATTCATTAGTTACATTTATCATTAATTCCTTCGATTCACTTGCGTCACTAAATATGCCCACTGCTCACAAGCTTCAATACTTGTAAACAGTAGTATAGAACTTTGTGAATACAACTACTACTATTAATTATAAAAAACTGTTTTTAAGCAGTGCTAATACTTTCAAACCATGTCTGATGTCTACAGCAGACATATATTACATAAAGATATCATTATGTCAATGTAATAAATGAAAATTTAACTGTTGTATATGGTATGAATGTAAAATTAAATAATTTTATTTATTAAGGATTTAGGGCTTAACAACTATCTTGCAATTGTACAAAATCTTTACTTTATGGTTTATATGGTATTTTTTTTGGAATAGTGTTTTATGTACTTCTAATCAAAGCACAAATTCACCAATTGTTTTAAACATTTAATTTAAATTGGTAAATGTTTAAGAAATTACAATTTTTATGATACTATGGTAAAATAATAAATGTTTCTATACTCCGGACGGAATAAGAACGTACCTCGTCGCGCAGGCGGCGACCGGTTTCCCGTCCACAACCTTGTCATAGTTATAAACATATAGTTATAGTCATAACTATGATCTGCGCGCAGCAAACTTGTTTTGGTCCGCCGCCCCGGGTACGTTCTTATTCCGGCCGGAGTATACATTAGGCCATTATGTTTAAAATTGTATAACATTTTTTTGGATACCTGGAAGTGTATCTAAAATATGTGTCAAGAAAAGCAAACCTATATGGCTATACCCGGCTATACCTTTATCAGTGGTTTGAAAAATTATTAAAAAATTAAAACAAAATACATTTTAAGATGAAAATATGTTTTATTATCATTTTAAACAAGTTTACTGTAACCAATACCGACTCCAGTTACTAAGATTTTTGAATCACAGCCTTGGCGTAAGTCTTCATTTTTAGAATCAATATACGGTTCTAATTTAAATGATATCCCAAAAAATTCTTTCAAATGCCTTAAAAATTGAATCCTGAAATTGTATTTATAAAATCAATCAAATTTGTTAGGTTACATTGGTAATATTAATTGTCAAAAAATAATAACTTACGTATAGGGTGATAATGGTCCTAATACAACATGAGATACATCTTTTTGTCTAAGAGCCATGTAAAGAAGTACAATGGATTGAAAAGAAGAGTCTATACAACCTCCACGCCAAATCTCTTCAAGCATAGCTGATGCTACATTTTCGGCTACTTCTTCTGCTGTTGTTCTTTGACCAGTAAATGGTAATGAAACACTATCAGCAGTTAATATTAATCCATTGGTTGTTGATGCAACAATATTTGCACCAAAACCAGGAGATTTTCCACATAGTTTTCCCTTTGGATGATCTACCGTAAAATATACATCAGGAATAAATTTAAGCATAACTGATTTTGCTTTCTCTACCATCCGATTGGAAATTGATGGCGATACCCTCAATGAAAAAAATGTTCCTCTTATTTTTTTTATTTTTCCAAAATCTGTTAACTATAAATTAAAAATAAATTGTTGATATATATGAGATAAATCTTAGTCTTACTTGAAGTGCTTTGGTATATTTAACGGGTTCACATGAAAAATATATTTCACCTCCGCCATCTGGTTCCATGCCTCGTTTTCTAATTTCCATATTGGCATCAGTAGCTAACAACAATATCCTCTGTAAAATTGTTAGTGCTCCTGCCTTAAAAGCATCAACTGATGGATCTTTCTTTTAAAAAAAATAAATAGTTATTTTTATTTCCAATAAAATTTATAAACAGCTAATATAATTTACTTGATTATTAGTAACTCCTTTAAGTGTGGCTTGTATTCCTTTTTTACAATAAGGTGCAACCATGATAATTAATTCCAAGTAATATCCTATGCCTCGTAATTTACAACAATCATGATCTATTGCACCACCAATAAGTAAACCAGGTTGAAAATATAAGTCAGTACCAGTCTCATTGACATCCAAATTAGTTCCATTAGTTAATTTGTCAACTAAACGTAGGAAATTTACTTCAAACTCTAAAATCGTAAAGGCAATTATTAATTTAAGATATTTCATGTTTGAATAATATATTTTTACCTTGGAGTCCCGGTTCATTTTCTTGTGATCGAATATTTCGAATTTTCACTGGTTTACCACTTAAAAGTGATAATATAATTCTTGTACGAAAATTACTGCACCCTTCAAAAATCATAATTTATTTTTAATTTCCAATTGTATGTAAATTCTAATTTCTAAACATAATAATATCTTAAATCATGTTTAAACTCGAGTACTCGACAGTCGACATGCTTTTGCCTTTTTGATAAAATAATTAAAATTGATAAAAGTCAGACTAGCCAACATGATGAATTAAGAAAACCACGATGTTGACGATCACGATTTAAGATATACTGGTTACACATCGAATTGTGATAAGGAGACCGTCTAACTGAATCCCTATATCAGCTCTGGAACTACTGACTGGCGCCATCTATCGATAAATTTCCATGTACCATTCGTCAACATCAAACGGATATGCTAGCAAATATGTTTTCCTACTACATAACTATACGCATGAGGCAATATAGTTATATGCAAAACTAAGCTATTAAAAAACTAAACAAAACAAAAAAAAAGTTGTCAAAATTAGTTAAAACATAATAAATTAATGTTTAAAATGAATAAAACTGTTGTCGTATAATAATACTCGATGATTGATAATCATAAGATTTTTAACTGAAGTATTTCTCATTTCTTGTTATGGAATAAAATATAAGTACCTATCTACTTGTAAAAATTCTTAAATTATAATTTAGTAAACTAAGTAAATGGTATTATATAATATTGTATAACCTTTTTAACGTTTATTCATATATTATAATCGCAAATACGTTATAACATTTAAAACCACCAGAATAATGACAAAATAAATTCTTTTTCATAACTAGAATATTAAGTTAATTATTAATCTTCAGTTAACTC